CAGATGACATTGAACTTGGGAAGCTCCCTGTTGTTCTTCTTCTGGAGGGTGTTTGGGGAAATCTAGGCTAACCTCATCTGGTCAGTAACAGGAGCAGTAGCCCTGGCGACCTCGACTGGCCAAGCTCTGACGTCAAAGGCCTGACACAGTCAATCGGCCTGAGGGCGCAAGGAAGGCTATTTTTAGCGCCTGGCTGATAAAGGGGGAGTAATCTGATTTTCATGTAAGCCGAACGCTTCCGCCAGGCATCCAGCAAAGAAACCGGATCATTAACATGTTGGTAAACTTTAGCCGAGGCTGGGAGGGCGAGCCGGGCGACGGTAGAGGCTGACTGACATGTGGGTTAATGTGTTCTCTGCAGTGAAAGGCCCCTCGTAGTGCTACCCTACCTACACTCGAGGTCCCTACAGACTCAAGGACACCTTCATGACTCTTTAGCATTTTAAAGAGACAATGCATAGCTTCATACAATCTTGCTCTGTCAAGCGATGTGCCAATTTTCAGCTTTGGAGGCCAGGTTAGATGGTATGTAGTGTATCCGCTTGCTAAGTTGTGACGTATGGAATACTGTTTCTTTGCCAAAGCCTCTACTCATTTAAGATGAACGATCTCAGTAGTCTTTTATAAGCACCGTTTAGTCATATCACATTTCAAAGCAATACACAATACACAAATTGATCTTAATAATTGTGATGATCAGATCACTTCATTGAAAATGTATTGGTCACACTTTATTTTAAGGTATAATTTTCGCTATTAACAAAACAAAAAGTATTTTTAATGGAATAAATTCTTAATTTGCTGCTTATAAATAGTTTTTAACGTAGTAGTTGGGTTTAGGTATTGGGTATGATAAGGGATGTAGAATAAGAACATGCAGATTAGTACTTTATAAGTGTTAAACAGTCAATATCTTAATAATAGGCATGTTAATTAGCAACTAGTTATTAGTGACAATTGTTCCCAATGTATTAAACACTACCTACTGCTAAAGTCTAGTCATTGAATACAGTTGTAAGAGTTCTAGTTGATCATTTGGTAAAGTGGCAGAAAGCAGATTGTTTCGATCAATCATCTGTTGAACTGCATCTCAATCATCACAAATACTGCAGAAGACCTACTGGAACCTGCATAGACCCAAGATTCTCACAGAAATCAGTCAAGTTTGGTGAAGGAAAAATCATGGTTTGGGGTTACATTTAGTATGGGGGCGTGCAAAAGATTTGCAGAGTGGATGGCAACATCAACAGCTCGAGGTATCAAGCGAACTGCACCTGTATGGCAGGGTATGTAAACTTACATGCTTACATTTTATTCTAAGCATTCAGTGTCTGTAGTTTAATATACTTAATATATTTAATATAATATTAAGCGTGATATCATTACCTGATATGAAATGAGAACTGCAGAGTCCAGCATTTTCAATTAGGTCCTCACTCCATTCAGCTTTTGTGATGGCTGTTAGCCAAAGATGCCTGCGGTTGGCATTAAAGGCAGTGTGGTTTACGGTAAAATTTAATTTTTCGAATTTGGCATCCTACCGCAGAAACACTAAATGTTTGATATTGCAACCAGTCTTTTTTTTTGCAAGCGGCATGTGTGGTTTAACCTGTGTGACGTAGGTTGGTATATCCCCTATTGGCTGCTTATTAGTACTTATAAAGCACATTTTCGGAATACAATAACTTAACTACCTTAATAACTTTTAATACGGAGTAAATTAGGAGTTGATTAAAGCAAAAGTCATATTGGTTTGCTAAATTCTTTCCAAATAGTGCTGTTCAATCATTTGCTGGAATTGTATAGATAGATGTAGAAATACAAAACATCATGATGTCAGATTTTTTCAATATCATGCAGCCCTATTTAACAGTCTAATTCACCAGCTATTTCTTTTAAACAGTTTGCAAGGTTAAAATTGTTTTAATAATGTTCAATTAAAAGTTGCTTCCCAGTGCCTTTTGAGGTTTCATAAGATTCAGAAGCTGCCATGACCTTGTCACCTTTAATGGGAAAACTTTTTGTTTTCCCTGACTGAATGTCTTTGGAAAAAGTTTAGATTAGCTTGCACAGGGCATGAGTTTGAGAATGCATTGCTATCCCCATAGCAACTCATTAATTCCACCTTACTGTCGTGAATGAAAAGTGTTTGAGGGAGAAAAATAAGTGGAACACAGACAAAGGCAGGAATGTTAGGTTTTGTGGGATCTTTTATAGTACTTTAGTTGTGCCAAAACACTTGTACTTGGAAGCTGGGTTTTCTGGGTAGTGGTTCTATTGGAAAAATCAGAGATGGTTGGTCTGGTTTCAGAACAAGCCTCAGGGTATAACCTTGATTTACCCTCTAGATTATATAACTACATGTCCTCTTTGGCAGTGCAGTGCCCTACCATAAAGCAGGGTCCTTTTTTCTCATGACCTATAAGAAAGCTGTTTAATGCTGATTTTACATCAATGCTGGAATTTTTTCTTTGCTTCTCTTCTTGGAAGAAATTGGTCTGAGGTCAGTTGGATGAACTTCCAACTGGCTCATGATTCACTAGACACTAGTGTCAACGAGCCAGTCGACATTTGAGCCCATACACCCAGTTACGGTAACATGGGCAGACACAAACAAATGTCAGCCAAACATTTATAGAAACATCACACGTAAAACGTGGAATACCCTCACAAATGCAACCATGGCCTTTGCTTATGTAACTAAGTGGTTTAAAAAAATGGTATGTTTGTGTGTCAACATGCTGTTATTGAGCGGTACAGGTATAGAGCTTAAACGAACCTGTTTGAACTCAGTAAAGAGGTGACGCATTAATAAATAAAAAGGCAACAAGTGTACATTATATTCAAGCATACATACATTACTACATGCATACATATACACTACTACATGCATACATATACGTACGCACACACACATACATTTTTTTTTTCCGATAGCTAAATTGAAATGATACATATATTCTATTTAGGCTTATATAAATTATGTATAACCTGTCCTCCAATATTCCACATTAACACTGTTTTGAGAATTGAGTCGGGTTAGATAGATAGACAGACAGACAGACAGATAATTTTAATTATCTGTCTGTCTGAGGCATTATTTTTTATTAGGCATATTTAATGGTATTCTCGGTGCACGTGTGTGGATAATTATGGCCCAGTTGTATAAGGTACTAAAACGTTGTAAGTTATGTTATTAAAGAAAATGCGTAAGCATTAATTTGTGTTTTTACTAAAATATTAAATAAATATTGGCCTATAGTGAGTTCGGGCATACGCACTTATGAAACAAAAGTTTGTGTGTGACAAATGAACAGATGAAATATGTGGCTCAGCTTGCGTATGGATATTTCCAGTTAATTAATTTCAAAATCATCACGAACAGCAATGCAAATGAGGATTAAATATATTGTAAGTGTATAAAGAGTGTATTTTAAGAGTGTTTTGTGACCACCTCCGAATTACAGAGTGTGTGTTTCTTTTGAGGACTAACTCATCATCTCCAGGCTGTCCGAGGGGTTGTAAAAGGTAGTAAATTAAATTAGCCAAAATTAAAGCCATTAAAAAATATGAAAAAGTAACAAATTTCGTCTTCGTCTTCTGACGAGGTATTACATTTTTAAGTGCAATTGGTGTTAAGTGCAGGCCTTTATTCTAAAATTTACGTGGATTTGTTTATATGTTGAGAGTAGGACCTGAGTGAAATCATGTGATGTTGTGTTCGTTCGTGCGCTGGGTACAAAACTGGGTACCTGGCTGGTTTGCTCTGGGAATGCAAGTTTTCGGACCTCTGGCTGGAGGACTCAAGATTTAAAGACTGGCTTAGGCCTGTAGTTGGCAATAGCCGCGAGGTTTATTGCCATGTCTGCATGAAGACAATTAATATAACCTTGCTTGCACGCGCATCACTTTGTGCCTGCAGTTAAACTCACAGCGTTTTTTTTTATGACACTTTAATTGATCATTTTTTCCGCAATTGACATTAAGAACGAACATAAAAGCATTGTCTGATTGACAAGGAGCACCTAATTTTGTTCATAGGAATTTAAAATGCCAAATGGGATGAATTTTTATACCCCATTTCAAAAGTAAAACATACTCTAATAGGTAGTGCAGTGTGTGGGTGAGAGGGGGGCAGTGTTTCAGTGTGATCCTGTTATGTTGTGGTTCTGTGACTGCTGGTGTTGTTTAACTGTATGGTTAACAATTATGACAGCTAAAGTAACTAGGTTAATTTCAATTTAAATCAATAAAAAATAAATTAAATATTAATCTAATATTAATATTTTTTATTTGGATATTATATTTGGGTATTTTATTGTGTGTTTGGGTAGGTTTTGGACAGCTTTTGGGCTGGAAAAAGTCAGTTACATCTGGCAACATTGCTTTTTTTAACAGAGCCGCAATGTCAACACGCACAGAATCTATCGGCACAGTTCAGCACAGTTGTCTAACCTTGCCTCAAAAAAAAAGCCGAGAACAGTTTGTAATTGTGCCGTGCTGTTCAAGGCTTACTGGAGAAACATCCACATATGACATATATGACATTGAATAAAAACTATGGACAAAGGCCCATTGGGACACCTTGATTAATCCCTCTGCTTTACTTAAATGTATATGTTATCTGCAATGTGTTATGCAATATTTCATTTACTCCACTACAGTTGCAGTCGTGCTGGTTTACATTTTTTGAAGGTATTAAAAAAGGTAGTAAAAGGTATTAAATTCAACTTAAGAAGTTCTGCATATACCCTGATCTCTCCCCATGTGTTTTTTTTTGTATTGAAAATGTGTCAAATGAGACTCCCTCCTCACCTCACGTCTCTTGTGCGCATAGTAACGCTTAAGGGAGACATAATATTGGACGCTCTGTGCATCCTTTTGGGAAAGTAGCTATGGTTTAATTTTAAATAATCGATATGCATGATATTTCAAAATTTCGCATCGTCCAAAAAAAATTCCGATATTATCGCTAATATTTGTTTTTGTTTCTTCTCTAGTGGATGTGAAGACCTTACTACCCTCCGGGATGCAGAGCCCGGTGGGAGGTGGAGGAGATCAGGGCGGAGGTAGCGGTGGTCCGGTAGACCTGCGTACAGACCCACGTCTGAGTGCGCTAAGTGCTGTAGACCCATCTCTGAGAGAAAAACAGCTTCAGCACGAGCTGCTCTTACTCAAACAACAACAGGAGCTCCAGAAACAGCTGCTGTTCGCCGAGTTCCAGAAGCAGCACGAGGTTTTGACGCGCCAACATGAAGTGCAGCTACAGGAACATCTGAAGGTACGAGCCTCGCTGTTCTCTCTGTGCCCTTCATTCCCTTCAACCTTTTGATTCTTAACCTCTAAACCTCCGAACAGCAACAGCAGGAGATCCTCGCCGCGAAACGTCAGCAGGAGCTCGAGCAGAAGAGGAAGCTTGAACAGCAGCGTCACGAAGAGATGGAGAAACAGAGACTGGAACAACAGCTCATCATGCTGCGAAACAAAGAGAAAGGCAAAGAGAGTATGCATCCATACATTATGCACAACAGATATACAGATATACAGACGCTGATCATCATGGCCTGGTACTTATTCCAAAGCAAGAGAGGTTTAAATGCACCACTCACCTTTTAGTTCACAAATAAAAACACCTTGCCGAGCAGCACGTAGCTAATGTTTATCGTTGTTTGCTGCTATAATTACACATTGTCATGAATATCCCTTGAAGTACTTTAGGCACAGCAGGCACAAATTGCTCTATTATTTCTCATCTTTGGCTGTTTACTATTAAAAACAACGCAGTGCCATGCTAAGATTTATTGTGCCTCCAAATTAACTAATTGGATCTGTTTTAAATCATAGAGTGAGCTGCCTATAGATTCCCTGCAGGTATTAAATTTTTTTATCATGATATTCTGTATTATCATGGTATTGACCTAAGCTGCAAAAAATGGTTACAACAAATTAATTATTGTATAAACATGCTCAAAGTAGATAAATGCTTTAAACAAAATACATTGCAAAAGATAACACTTGATAATAAAATCTCATTATTAAGCAGCAGCTATGTTTCCATCCAAAAATGGAAATAAAATTTATGTGCAAAACTGGAATATTGCATAAAAGATGTGCGAATAAAGCAATAAAATCGTCACTTCCTGATTAACTGGCGCCAAATATCACCAGTAAAAACGGAATTTGTTGCGGTAGGAGAAGCTGCGTGAATCTTTTCTTCATTTAATAAATGACTTTGACCTCAAAATGGCAATGATGACTTGATGAATGTGGGGTGGTGTTTAAAGGTGTGAGATGCAGAGATGCTCTTGACAATTCTGGAGGTTATTAATAATATAGCCTAACACCAATACTGAAACGGTTAAGGTGTTTTAGAATAGCCAAAACAACATTTCAGATGTTTTACAGTGTGCTCAAGCTGCTGGTTTGTCCATTCACAGACATTTTTATCCGAACATAATCTCTTATAACCAAATCAAATTACCTTTTTTATTGTGCATACTGGAATTTGTTCCGTAAAAGCACTCCCATTGTAGTTCATACTCATAAATTTTTTATGCACATCTTGGCATTTTAATCAACTGATTTTTTTTTAATGCGCATATACAAAATGCTCATAAAAATTATGGATGGTGGATGGAAATTAAGCGGCTGTTTATTAAAATCAACAGTGAGAAATAACCTTATTTAGCTGTATGTCAATAAAAAATGTAAAAATACAATAAAATTTTAACTGTTTTGTACATTTAATTAAATTATTTTATTTTTACGCTATTTATCATTATTTTAATATTTATTTTTTTTTAGCTATTAACTAAGAAATTAGCATCAGCTAAGATTAGCTGGTTAGATTAACAAAGATTAGATTAAGGTTAGATTAATAAATGCTTTTGTAGTTGCCATTGCATTGACCTTTAAGGTCCCACATTTTGTAGATGTTGGTATCAGTATGTTAGTTTTAAGGATATTTATCAGATAGTGTGCTACAAAATTTGTGTTTTAGAAGATATAAACCTGATATAAACATTCAAAGCTTGCAGTTTGTCACTTTCGCCTAAATCTGGCATGCCAAAACTATGCCAAAATTGGCCTATGGTAACCTTTAATTTAGCTGCCAACTAATCAAATTGGAACAAATGTCGGAGATGTTTGAGGCGAATCCCTCAGAGATCGCCATTTCTAATTTAACATAACCTTTTGTTTGTTTGTTTGTTTGTTTGTTTAATTGCTGAACTACAAAAAAGCTAAAGTGAAAATACATTTTTCAATTAAATGTTGTAAATTAATCTGATTTTTAAGGGTCATAAAAGCCTAAAACACATTGTTTAGATGTTGACATATATATGTGTGGCACTTTGCTAAAAACACTATTAGGACACTTATTAAGTAAAACTCCAATGTGTATAAATGAGATTGAGTTTATGGTTTTGTTTTAAGAAGTACATTAAAAAATGTAAACTATATATACATAATTATTAATATTTAAAGTAGTTTTTCTTTATATACTTAAGTATTATTAAATTAGGAAGTTAACATGGTAACTTGAATGTAATACTGTTTAGTATATTTAGCTTTGGCCCAACACCTTCAATCAAGTTTGGTTTTCGGCCCTTCATAAGAAAAATGTTTGGGAACCCCTGGCCTCCACATTACGTCATTCGCAACACCTCATACTTAAGTTTCTCATCAAATCTTGACCAATCAAATGCTTTTTAGTATCTTACATTCCCTGCCCCCTTCAAAAAGCTTCTGATTTGCTTTTCATTGGATGTGCTTGAGCTCAACATTCTCACTGGCAGAGCTGTGATGAAAACAAAACCCCTTTTTTTTTAAAGGGAGCAGTTTCTCTATGTGTCCCACCCTCTCTTCGTGTTTCAGTTGAGATTACGTCACACATTGAATAAAATAAAGCACATTTCAAAGCACTTCACCAGACCTTGTAATAAAAACTACTGATGTTAATGTCACAATATTCACAATAAATAACGAACACAATATCAGTGTTGTGCATGTTCATTTGCATGATATTTTGAATTATTGTTTATGGCGGTTTGATCAGCTCAAACCAGTCACCACAAAGTCTGGGAATGTTTACCTAATCGTAAAAAAAAAAAGATAAAGCAAACATGTATTTTTATTCTTAGCATGTTTTGTTTGCTATTTATTTCTTGGTAATGATGGTTAAACATTATTGTTCTCTATTGGTCTGTGAATAATTAGTGTTTTTTTTATTTAACATATTTATCTGAATTGACAGTAAAATGTATGATGTTGCAAAAGTTGGCATTTAAGTAAATGTTGTTGTTTTGAGATTTCTCTTAATGAGTGTATCCCTAAATTTCCCTTGTCTTATCCCCAAATGTCCTCTGCCTTATGTTCTCAGGTGCCATCGCCAGTACTGAGGTCAAACTGAAGCTGCAGGAGTTTCTGTTGAGCAAAAAGGAGCCCGGCCCCGGTGGACTCAACCATTCCTTCCCCCAGAAGTGCTGGTGAGAGCAACTTTGCTAGTCGCTCAGGATTGGTAGACCCAAATTCACTTTGCACCTTTTTAACCTATTTTTTTATCAAAGGCTGGTTCAGTGTGTGCTCTGATTTTGTTTTCTGCAGTATTATGTAAATGAGCATGCTGACATTGCATCATGCCACATTATGCTGTAAGTTTATGGCTCTCATTAGTGTGGAGATGGAGGGGTGTTCGTAATGGACTGTGTCTGTTTTAGGGGGGCTCACCACACATCCCTGGAGCAGAGCTCTCCTCCACAGAGCAACACACCAGGAACACCACCCTCCTACAAACTCCCCCCGCTCTTAGGATCCTACGAAGGCAAGGATGACTTCCCTCTGCGGAAAACCGGTGAGTAGACTTCAAGTGTGTGTACTTAAAAAAAAATGCAATGGACTACTGATCAAATGCTTGATTCAGTAAGAATTTTTAAAAGAAATGAGTGCTTTTATTCTGCAAGGATGCATTCAACTGATCAGTTTTACAATGTTACTCCATCAAAGTTACAATGATAATTTTAATATGGTGCAATATTAGATACATTTTTGAAAATCTACTAAATCACATTTATTATAGTATAATAAAAATAAATGAACTGACGAAAATAAAAACAACTATTCATTTTTTTTGTATTTAGCATATTTAGTATGTTAAAATAGACATTTAAGACGGTCATTTAGTGTTACTATAGCTGCTAATATCACCTTTTCCTGGATCGTTTTACCATATTAACCATGTAAAGTACTTCACTATCATATGGACTTCTTAGAGTTCACTTGTTTTGACTTGGATTACTTATTAACCACTAAGATTGTATAAACTTTTAATGCACATTTAAATGAGAAACCAGTGATGGAAACAGCAAAAATACGTTCACTTGAGGTGGCTTTTGAGGAGGGTAATGCGTATATTGGGAGATGGAAATGTATTTGCAGAATAAACTCTGATGTAGCAAACATTAACTGAGGTAAAGTCTAGATCATATACGCGGCCATCCGAAAGTGCGATATGCACATCAATATAGCATTTTTTGACACTATAACAATAATTTATATTTTTACAGTACTATGTGTTGGGGTTAGGGTTGGGGTGGGGGTAGGTGTAATTAAAATACAGTAAGTGGGAAATTTTATAAATAATATAAATTCTCGTAAACTTCCGGCTGCAACCATATCTGATCTAGCAATAACCATTAGCTGGCTCCATTACGCTTGCCCTGTTTACTGTTGGTCACTAGGTTATCAATGCCACAGCTAACCACTCTGAAAACTTGATGAACATTCTAGACCTAATTCACAGCTTTTTATTTTACAAATATTGACAAGATTCCCTTCATTTTACAATGAAAACCCGAACTATTGTCATTTTAATGACACTCATATTGAACTGAAAACAATTAAAAAAATTATTGCTGCCTATTTTTTTATGTTTATTAAATGTTCCATTCATTTTAACTTGCATCAATTAATCTGACTAAACATATTAGATAAAAAACGTTTATTGATTATTAAAGTTTATTGAAACCTAATTAACTTATTAAAATAAGATAAAGCAACATAAAACGTTTGTTGTCACGACTTTTTGTAATATCATATTTTACAGTGAAAAACTGAACGCTTCACCAGTGAGAAAACAGTTTAACAGACAGTCTGTAGCGTGAGGAGAAAGAACGAGCCTCCTCCATTCGGCTTCTTTACTTTCTCTTTACTTTACTTTTACTCTTTACTTTACTCCTTTACTTTCGTGGAGTAAGGAAACGGTGTTGTACACAATCCACTGAAGACATCCATTAGCCTACATATTTAATTTAATTTGTTAAGTGCAAAGATTTGTTGTTTGTGTGTATTAAGCAATGTGTAATTGTATGGACCTGCATAGGCGCATAACTAACGCGCTCTGTGCAGGACTTTAGACCTGCTTTTAGTTGGTCAATGGTGCAGTCTATTTCACTTCCTCAAAATAGCAAATCGCCAACAATGTACCTTAACGCACCTCCTTTTTACACCGGAACATCTATGAGTCCACAAATTGGCCACATAGTGTAAAACATGAAAAGTAGGGTTGCGCCGGTCTAAAAATAGCAACAAATTACAAACACCAAACCAAACACGTCTTGCGCCTTATGTGTATGTTGTGGTCCTTTGTCTTTGCGAAGCTACTTTAACAACATTTACATTCTATAAAAGTGCTTTGCAAACTACAATGTCTAATGTGAAACATTGCTATGGACGTTGGCATCGTCGTCATAGGTGGTGGCGAATCAATTATTTATTAATAATTAATTAATTCATAACTAATTCATAATTTGTAGCCTACCGTTTTAACTACCTGACCCGCATGGTCTTTGTTTCACCCATAACCAAATCATAAATAACTAAAGATAAGGTACACACAAATTACCACCTGTCAGTCACTTTTTTCGCGGGACTCTGACATGAATAGGCAGAATGATCTGTGTTGTTATAATGGGTGTCGACAAACTTGGCTGGTGCACAACCAACAGGAATCAACAGTATCTGAGGTTTTCACTAAAATTACTAAGTATAAGCGTGAAAGCAAAAGATTGAAGCAGTGTACTGATACTGTGAATGGTTACCTGATAGATTAAAAGACTGAAGGGTCGTTAGATAGAGACAAGATTAATTAAATAACACATTTAACAACTATTGTGAGACGCGATCCAGTGGTACATCCTTAATGAACTGTCTGATGTGCACTGCTCTCATACGCTGCAGTGCGTTACTCTCTGTGTTTGTGCACACGTGCGTGTGTGTGTGTGTTGTCACATGACGTGTGTTTTCAGCGGTATAGTGGACGAAGATCTTTTCAGAAATGCTAGGTGAAACGTCCTGGTGGACTTGGATCGTTTTTGTTTTAAAAATGCCATTTTAAAACTAAGACGTATTAGTGTAAACGGGGCCTAAGTGTGTATTTTTCGCGAGCGGGTTGCTGCTGCGATGGGAGTGGGGTGGAGAATCGCGATGCCTGCTCAGCATTGTGATGTCTATTGGCCATCAGCGATGGACAATGGCATCGTCTATTGACCGAACTCTACTTGATTAGCAACACCCTAATAACTGCATGACAACATCCTAGCACGAATTCCTTTTTTTAAAGCTCATTTTATAAATGGCCCCCTCCAAGCAAGCTGTTGTACAATCCTCAGTGTAGTCCACATGCAGTTATTTTTTTGGGGGGGTCATTTTAATTAACTCTTTTAATGATATGCGCGTGTGTTTATGTGTAGAAGTCAGGTGATTATTTTCTTTCTGTGCATGAATGGTGCTGTTCTAGCCTCACTGCTGGTTTTGTGTGGAGAAGTTTGAGCTGTTTAACGCTGCAGTGGTGTCACAGAGGACGCAAGGGTGGGTGTGCGTGTGTGTAGGGATGAAGACTCTTCACTGAGGAGTCTGCAGGTGTGAGTCATAAATGAGTCATCAGAACAGTGGACCTACACACTAACACACACCTTAGGGGCTTTATTAGTGACAGAATGGCTTTTATACTAAAATAATGATATTTATTATAACTTGCCTCACAGTGTAATCACAGTGAAATCCTGATGATTCAAAGGGATAGTTAATCTAACCACGTAAATTTGTTGTTAATTTACTACTCATGACTCATAATAATGACCCAAACCTTACAGTTGAAGTCAGAAATATTACCCCCCACCCCAATTATTTTTTTATTTTTTTATTAAAAACGGCTTTTGTTCTTGCGGAAATAAAACAAATAAGACTTTCTCCAGAAGAAAAAATATTATCAGACATACTGTGAAAATTTCCCTGCTCTGTTAAACATCATTTGGGAAATATTTATAAAAAACAAAAAAAAATCAAAGGGGGGCTAATAATTCTAACCTCAACTGTATGTCAAATATTTTTAGTTGAGAATTAAAGATTATGTATTTTTCATGATTTGATAGTTTATTGATTGATTTGCTGATTTAATTTCTTGTTGATCAAGTTAATGAAAAATCAAATCAATGACAGTGGAAAGAAAAAAAAACATCTGCAAGCAAAACAAAATGCACACCTATAGTTAATGAACTATAATGTAGGTTGATTGTGTTCTCAAATCAGTGTGTCATATTTGACTACACTTTAATTTTGGAATAATTAAGGTTTTACTGTAAATCTCGTCAAAGCTTTACTTGTTTGACGATAAAGCAGTACTGTTATAATTTTTAGAATATGTTATGAAATGCATTTAATTCTTTTTTATGACACACCTGAATATTCAGTAAGCATTATTCTAGTCTTCAGGGTAACATGATTGATTCTTTAAAAATCATTTTAATGTGTTAATATGTGGTGTTCAATAAAAAATATATATTATATGCAATACCCGTCAAAAGTTTAGGGTCAGTAGGATTTTAAATGTTTTTAAAATAAGCTTCTCCTGCTCACCAAGGCTGCATTTATTTCATCAAAAATACAGTACAAAATACAGTACAGTATTATAAAATTGCTGTTTAAGAGTAGTTTATAGTTTAATTGAATAATTTATTCCAGTGATTTTAACAATGAAATTTCAGCTTCATTACTCCAGTCTTCAAAGTCACTTGATCCTTCAGAAATCACTCTAATATTAATATTTTATTATTATTATTATTATTATTATTATTATTATTAGTGGTAATAGTAATAACAGCAAAAATGACTGGAGTAATAACTTGATTTGAAACTAAATACAATGAAAAAGCAGTTTTAGAAAATTGTAATAAATATTTAACAATTTAGCATTTTTTAACATTTAATAAATGCCTCTTGAACTGACCTCAAACTTTTAATATATGTAATCATATATTAAAAATGTAAAAAAAATAGTAATAATAATAATAAAATAATAGTAATAATCCTGTGTAAAATGAACCATTTTAAACCTTTTTGAATTTCTTTTTTCTGTTGAAGAATACTAGTTGCTGGCACCCATTGAGTTCTATAGTAGGAAAAAAAAACATTACTATGGAAGTCAATGGGTGCCAACAATCAACATTTTTCAAAATATCTTCTTTTTTGTTCAACAGAAGAAAGGTTTTGAATGAGCGAAGGGTGAATAAATTATGACCGAAACTTCATTTTGGGTGAACTATCCCTTTAATATTTTTGTTTTAGATTTAAATTGAAAAAAAAAACAGTAATAAAGTATAAACATTTTTACTGTCATATTTGATTCATTTAATTCATTCCTCGGTCCAAGAAACATTCGAAAAATTGTAATTATTCCAAACGCTTAATGGCTAGTGTATTACCAGAGTACACACACGCATACTGGTCATCTGCTGTTCACTCTCATAGCCGCCAGCCATACTCCAAAACCTCCCACACAGATTCAGTGAGCCTGTTCCCACAAACGCGCACACACACATCTGCTATCTGCTGTTTTACACACAACTATCTTTTAAACTGTCACACCCACGCTGCTTTATAAAGCTCTCTATAATAGAACTGACACACATATACCATCCAGAGGATGGCACTGACACACACACACACACATACTTGCGCCCTCTAGCTTGGACTACAGCACACTGATAAAGCAATCGCAGACGGGTCTGTTAACCGTGGGCGAAGCGCTTACTCCATATTACCACTGTTATGGCAACACCACAGCAATCTCCTTACATAACATGCCCTCAGTTTGTGTGTCTTTCCATCCTGTGCCCTCCCCCACGTCTCACACTTTTATTTTAAATCTCATTAAATCCATCCTGAAGTCACCGATAGCATTAGTGGCAAAGTCCTTTCTGCTCTACATGCCCAGTGCGGCTGTGACGCACAAACAGGACCAAAAAAAACACACACACAGGGCTCGGTCAAGCCGCATTACACACGGTGTGTTAGGGTAATTGGCCCAATTTGATTCTCCCCCCGCCCCTCTTTCAAATCCCTTTTTACTTCAATTAAGTTTAATTTGGCCCCTCATCTCCGGAATCAACAAGAGTTAAAACCGGCATGCTGTAAATATCATTTTTATATATAGCTATGTGTGTGTGAGAGAGACAGGGAGTGTATGTGAGAGTGTGTTTGAGAGTTTGTACTGTAGAAAAATGTTGTTGTTAGAGTTTTTGTCTAGTTTTTTTTTCCTCTTGTTTATAGTCCAAATAACTATAAATTTAGTGTTATTTTTTTCTGTAAACAAGAATAAAATATTTGGCTGTGGGGTAAGTTCAATAATCTTATTTCAAACTGAAAACAACATTATTTTTTGCGCTATTGGCAGATCATGTGGCTTGTTTTAAGGAGAAATTCACTGAATTTTGACTTAATTATTTCCGAAAATAAAGCAATATTTTATACTTGTTCAGAAAATGCTGCTTGATTTATGAATGTGTAGATATTTGGAAAAAACCTCTAAGCAAGAAAAACATTTGTTGCGGTGTGTGAAAGCGTGTCTGTGTGTGCATGTGTGCGAAACAGGGAGGGATGTGCTGTTGCTGTCCATGGTCCTGATGTGTTTATTGAGGCAAACCACAATGTTATCATTTTTATAATAATTTAAGGATAATTCACCCTGTATTGAAAACTGGTTGTTGGTTTACTCACTTTTAGTTTATCAAAATGTAGGCAGATTTATTTTTCAGCAGGGCAATAAAGAAGGTGTTTGGATGAAAATGTGGCCCTTGGTGATTTATAAAATGCAAGTCAACACCTATCAGCACTTTGAGAGTCAAGAATATATCTGCAGGCACAACAAAAGTAATACCCGCGGCATTTGATGAAACATTAAGGTCTAAGGATGTAAAACTGTGTTGGTTTGTGCAAAATATCTAATATTACATTAACAGTATTGTTATTTTGAATTGTTACAATAGCCTCTGCAAATGCTTTTCAGTGCATTCATGACAACCTAGAGCATGAGCTTCCTGTCACATAATGGAAAAAACTAAGAATCTGAGAAAAAAGTAAATCTCACCATTTTATGTGTATTTTTTGAACAATACAGGATATACATCAATGCATACATCATAATTTAAGTCTGCCTGCCAGACGGTTGTGAATCATTCAAGAATTATTTGTACAAGTTGTGGATTAAAGGTAATAATGCTCAGTTTTTTGAATGTTGCTTTACACTAAAAACTTTGTTCACTCATCTTGTTGCATTGACTTAAATTGTATTGACTTCATTCTCTAAATTTTCTTAACTTAAAATGTTTAGTTGACTAAATAAAATTAAAGTTAAATAATGGACCCAACTACTTAATTCAAGTTAAATGGACCTGCAAAGTTTAGTTTTAACTTACATTATCAAGTTGGGAGAACTTGCCAAGTTTGGTTTAAATACATTAACTTACATTTTCAAGTTCAATGAACTTAATCTGGCAAATTTATTCAGTGCGAAAAAGAACAGACAGTGAAATACATTACACTATTTCAGGGCTTAGTTTGTGCCAGAACACGCTGGATCTGGATCTGGCACCTCTGAAATCTGAACCTCATTTTACCGGTCCCCCTCCTCAACTGAGCGCGATTGCTGGATTCACATATGCCAAAGAAACCGTGCTAACAAACGCGCCAGGTTTCGAAACAAAAGTCTAGGTGTGAAAGCACCCTTATTTTATCAACACCAAATGCCCCACACTGCAGGAGTAATTCTTTAAAGAAAAAAAATAAGCCAAAACATATTTAATAAACACAATCAAGATCAGAGTAATCACTAAATCTTTGAAATATAAATTTACTGAAATCCTTTAATATTATTTGTCTACTGTTGCTTAAATATTTCTTTACGTTATGGATATGACAGGATATATTTGGTAAAATCTCACCTGTAGTAAGTCTGCCTTTCTTTTGGAATGTGCTGCAACCTTTAGAATGAGAAAATGGCATTTTTGTAAATATACTAATGAGTATAGGGGTGGGAATCTCCAAAGTCTCACAATAAATGTTACATGTGTAACAATACAGTATTATTGGGATATTAAATAGATTAAATATATCAAGCAAATATATACAGTATTCTGACTGTTGGTCAGGACACAGGAAGCAGACCAGTAGCTGCATTTGATGATGCATTTGAGGTTTAAATTGGAGAGATTTTATGAACAGTTGCGGTAGGAAAGGGCATACAGATTATACAACTTTAAAAGTGTGTAAACTCTAAAACAAATATGAATATGCTGAATATAGCTTTTTCGAAATTAGTATCCATACATAATCATTCTCACAACCAAAGTAGCAAAAACAAGAGGCAAACAACTATTAATATACAGTAAACAAATATTAAATCAAAACATGAATGTCTCTTCAGTTACCAATGCTGCCTGGATATTCATACGGGCATCTCGTGTATTGATACAGTATTGCTGTGGATAAAATTCACGATACTGTGTCATATTGATACTACTGAACACTATAGTATCAGCTAAAACAGTTGTCTAATGTTGTACTCTCGAAATAAAATAATCACCTACATTTTGTAAGTAAAATAATGTTTTTTATTTTATACTTTATTTATTTTTAAAATAATGAATGAGCTGTCGTGTCGTAGTAAACTTCATTTGTGATCTATCAAATCTGATGGGTTGTTTAAGGATCAGGGTGCTTCTGCGCTGAACTGACTGAATATTTCTGTCTCATCTTCAGCCTCTGAGCCCAATCTGAAGGTACGTTCACGGTTAAAACAGAAGGTGGCTGAGAGGAGGAGCAGCCCGCTGCTCAGGCGGAAAGACGGTACTGTGATCAGCACTTTCAAGAAAAGGGCAATCGAGATCTCAGGTAAACGATATGTTAAAAATGCTTACTATATTAAGATGCTGTCTCTTATTTATTGCCAGCAAATATAGCCAATTTAGACTTTTGTTTGTTTGTTTGTTTGTTATGGGGGCTTGTAAAAGCTGAACATACTGGTATACTACATAAACTTAATATTATTATTCTTCTTCTGAGACCAATTTCTATATGCATCTCCTCCTAGACTGTTCATACTACAACCACCAAACTTACTCCAAACCTCCAAACTTCTCTGACTTAGATGGCCATATCTTTTCCAACTGATCCCACTTACGGTTTTCTGAAAAATGTCCTGAAAAATTCGGAAAAGTCACATTTACCTAACATTGGACCAAACTTTGTGACCTCATAACTTTCCACCAGACTGTCAAACAGACTTACGTTTGGGCTCATTTAACTCAGACTACCAATCTGCCAATCACTGATGACCTTTCAACTTACTAGCCACACCTTACCAACCACTTACGGAACCATAGCAACTGTCCTATAGACTTCCATTGTAAAAAACTGCCATTGACTTTACATTGGACATACTAACAACAAACCAATTCATGCGAGAATCATACTAACAAACATATTGGCAACATGCTAATTCATACTAGAACCAAGCTAGTTATTGTTAGCAACCGCCTAGCAATACCTTTGCAATGCCTTAGCCACCACTTAGCAAACACTTAGAACACCCTAGCAACACCGTAGCAACCACCTAGCAATGCCTTAGCAAATGCTTAGCAACCACTCAGAACACCATAGCAACAACCTAGCCACAACTTAGCAATGACCTAGAATACCTTAGCACCTGCCTTGTAACACCTTAGCAACCACCTAGCAACACCTTAGTAACCACCTAAAACACCCTAGCAATTTACTAGCATTGCCTTAGTAACCATTTAGAACATCCTAGCAGCCGCCTAACAATGCTTTAGCAACCACTTAGGATACCCTAGCAATCACCTTGCAACATCTTAGTAACCACTCAGAACACCCTAGCAACGCCTTAGCATCCGCCTAGCAGCCACTCAGAGCACCCTAGCAACACCTTAGCAGCCACCTAGCAACAGCTTAGCAAACATCTAGCAACACTTTAGCAACCACCTAGCAACACCTTAGCAACTGCCTAGCAATTACCTAGCAACATCTTAGCAATCACTCAGAACACCCTAGCAACACCTTAACAACCGCCTAGCAATTATCTAGCAACATCTTTGCAAACACTCAGAACACCCTAGCAACCACCTAGCAGCACCTTAGCAACAACTTAGCAACCACTCAGAACACCCTAGCAACCAAGCAGCAACACCTTAGCAACCACCTTGCAAACACTCAAAACACCCTAGCGACACCTTAGCAACCACCTAGCAACACCTTAGCAACCATATAAAAAACACTCAGAACACCCTAGCAACCACCTAGCAACACCTTAGCAACCGCCTAGCAATGCTTTAGCAACCACCTAACAACACTGTAGCAACGACCTAGCAACACCATAGTAACTAACTAGACTATCCTAGCAACTACCTAGCAACATCTTAGTAACTAACTAGACCACCCTAGCAATGCCTTAGCAAGCACCTTGAACACTCTAGCAACCAATCAGAACGCCTTAGCAACCACCTAGAACACCCTAGCAACCGACTAGCAGCGCCTTAGTAATATAAATGAATAGAAAAATCCAGGTGGTACTGTAGTTCTTATCATATGCACAACTATATCAAATATAGTTGTGCTTTCAGCTTCACAGAACAGAAAGTTTCTATTGAAGATGTAATTTTGGGGTTGCATCAGCACCTGAGTTGTTCAAACAGGCCTGTGAAAAACAAACCTCTGCCGTCAGATGAGAAGTGTGAAGATTTGCAAACAGGAATAATGAAGGCTCTGGTATTGTGTGATGCCTGTGCTGCTAATATAAAAACAGCTCAGAGGAAGGGAACAGTTTTACATCTTGCTGATGCATTAAAGCAGGTTCAATCAATCACTAAATCTAGTGAAATCCTCAGCGATATTTTGTAATGATGCAGCTAAAATGTGATTGTTGGAATGTGTGTGTGTGTGTGTGTGTGTGTGTTTTCAGTGTCCTCTATGTGCAGCAGTGCTCCTGGCTCTGGTCCCAGCTCTCCTAACAGCTCAAACTGTGCCATTGCTGAGAATGGATCCAGCGGATCCGTCCCAAACATCCACGCTGAGGTGAGAGACCTACCCCCACACATTTCCTTCACTTCTGTTCACGCATTTTACTCGTTTCTCAATAGTTTAGTAATGAAAAAGACCCAATAAATTGGCTTCACCTAGATAATAATTGTTTCTATGGATGCCTTGTGATGGGCTGGGCTAACACTGGTTAATCTCGAAGAAAGAAAAAAAACACGTTCTGGGAATCAGTTTTGAAGTTGTGGCTATGGGATCTAGAATGGCCGCAACTGCTCTGGATGGACAACCGGAAGCTGCTTAGGGTCACCTCTGCATGCTAAACAGCTAGTCTTAAGGATCACCTTAACCTTGAGAGCTGGAGAGAGTGAAATTGAGTGTGCACATGCCAGAAAAGGCTTAAAGCTGTAGAGGCAGAACACAGGATTTGAATGAGCTTGTGTTTGATTTTTGGATGACTTAGTCGCTAAATGCAAAGCAAAACACTTTTGTTAGACAAATATTTGGCATTTTATTTTACATTGATCTTGCATTTAAAATGCATATATTTGTGCTGAATAATTCATGTAATTGCTTCATGTGCAATGTATATGGCTTTTTGTCTTGAGTAATTATTTTTTGAGAGAGAGAAAATAACTTAATATTTAATTTATTATTAAATTACAAATATGTTATAATTATGACCACATGTTGGTTTATTAGATTATATATATATATATATATATATATATATATATATATATATATATATATATATATATATATATATATATATATATATATATATATTCTATTATGTAAAAATGAGCTTTTTTATAATTTCTTAGTAAGCATGGTTTATTATTAGGCAATCCATAGGCTATATTTGTTATTTGTCAATACAGCTGATGTAAAAGCATTTTTAATGTTTAAGATTAAATACTGTTTTTTGATAACCGAATGTATGTGTTTATTTAAATATTAATGTTATACTTTTGAAAGATATTCTTTAAAAGATACTTTCACTCACCCAGATTGCTTGCGTTTCCGCTTATACAAGAAAACAACTTGTTACGTTTATTGCGACGGGCATTGTCGCTGTCCACTCGGGAAATACAACCCATTTGGTTCACTCCGCAAGCTTACAAGCTGTGTGTGCGCGCAAGTCTGTGTTGCAAGCTATGTTTGTGCGTATCGCGCGAGCCTCCACTGAGTGCGTGCGCATAGCTGAAAACTGTGAAGGCTTTTATACAAAAGCACAAGCATTTCTTATGTGAAATTTCTTAACTGAGCTAACGAATATCAAATATTGATAATTAGAAAAGGTTGGTCAGTTAAATTATGCTACTGTAAGTAATGATTATTCAGCAATAATTCCCCAGTACTGATAGCAGAATAAGTGCTTATCAATACTTCGGCCTTTTGTAATGTAGCACCGATAAAGTACAGAGCTTCGGTACCCATCCCTATTTTTAAGCCTTGTTTCATACACATGGATGATAATTGAGGTTTTTTTATTTACATTTCATAGTTGTTTTGTGATAATGCAAGGAAGCATTGTTATTTAGGAGTGCATCAGTGGATGGCTCATGGAGAACCAATGAAGTATTAATTACTAAGTATAAATAACTATTTATGTCGTATGATGTTATTTCCAAATATCTTTGACAATTAAGTACCTTATGCAAGTAATACTTTAGTGAACCCTCTAGACATCACTTTTGCCAACAAATGTACCTTTACTATATATACAATTACTCCTATTATGTTGTACTGCTTTGGTTGTATTATAGTCTAAATATGGGGTGTTTTGCATGATTGGCAAAAAAAAAAAATCAACCATATTCATACATGATTTTTACATAATGGTTTAGCTAGTGGTACATTATGTGTTGGGTTTCTCCATGACCTGTATTTTCATGATAGAAATCATGTGATTTTAGCTTCCCTTTGCATGGGGTGTGCTGGAATAGATCTTTCATCAGACTCATCAACCACAGAAAAGGATCCCATCAAAAAGCGCCTGTGGAGATGACTTAAGAATCACCTCATTAGCTCTATCTGGCGTTCAAAAGCTACGTACCACTCCCCAAAATAGTCTTAGATTGTTATTCCAGAGCCTCTGTAGCCTAGCAGTACAACCCCGGGAGAAATGATGGATAAATGCGACGGAGAATAGAATGCTGACATCATTGCCGCTGCAGGTACAGCGCTCTGCCATTGAATGTCTGCTTTGTCTTTTGCTTCCTTGTCTTTTCTTAACCTTTGCGTCAGAGTGAGAATGACGCAGCTCAATGAACAGCTCATAATGAAAGGCTTAAATTGGGTCTTTGGGGATGAATAAATGTTGCCTTGTAAAGCAGATCCATTAGTTTTTGTTCTTCACCTTTAAAAATGGCTGCACTCCAAGTCTAGGGTTAGATGATGGGATTACCAGCACTCAGGAACACCTCCGCATTTCTCACTTAGCTCTCTTTTGGGTCATTTTTTGCTCATTAGAAATTAGAATAAAGACTCTGTGCAAAACCCATTTTAATTATCCTCATAACTGCTTAGTCCATTTCCTGAATCGGTTGCCATCTTCATGTGGCATTGATCCAAACCCAAATACAGATTAGCCATTCCCACATGCTTCGTTCCCTATCAAAAATAAAACTTAGTGAGGATTTCCAAAGAAGAACTCTTTTAAGTGATCGAGCCATGCGGAGACTTCTTGTCTGGGATTCCTTCCTGAGATAAAACAGCTTCTTTCCTCAGAGTTGGGCTGTTTGAAGTGTACATCCTGAAATGCAGGCCTGTTGTTTGTCCTGTGGGACTCATATCTCTCTCTCCCCGTTTCTCTTACGACAGCAGTTACGTTCTCTGCATCAGTCTTTGACTGGCGATGGGGCACCGAGTCCCCTAAGCCTCTACACTTCTCCATCTTTGCCCAACATCTCCCTGGGACTGCCTGCCAACGCCCACATCACGGTGAGTGTCCTCTGCTAAAGCTTGGTGGAGTTTTGATTGTTAAGGTGATTCAGAGTTCACAAATGGTGTAGACTGAATCCTAGTGGATCATTATGGTGCATTCTCAACTAGAGCTGTAGGTTTAGACCTGTCAGTTTGGTTCATGTGAAAGTGTGTTTTGAAAGTCAGAAGCACACCATCGAAGTGTACTAGTCTGCTTGCAAACATTTTCTTGGGTACAAATCATTTGAATTCCTTAATCATTTGAATGGCATCCATCCTAAATTGTAGAAGGAAAGTGTGTTCAATCATGCAGAGTTTAGCTCTTAATTATGCATCCTAGGACAGGGGTGTTCAAACTCAGTCCTGGAGGGGTGGTGTCCTGCTGAGTTTAGCTCCAACTAGCTTCGACACACCTGCCAGCTAGTTTTTAGTATATCTAGTAAGAGCTTGATTAGCTGGTTCAGGTGTTTTTGATTAGGGTTGGAGCTAAACTCTCCAGAACATTGGCCTTCCAGGACCGATTTTAGACATTCCTGCCCTAGGACAAGGATTGCTAGAAACTTCCTTGTGGGTGTTTTAGAGCAGGTTGGAGCTAAATTCTGCAGGATTTGACACATCACCTTATTTCTCACAATGATGTACTTGTTGATATACTTATTTCAGACCAAAAACTATATTGTTTTTAAAGATAGCATTGAGAGAGGATTGAATTGATCATGTTCTGGCTTGGTCCAAACTATAAAACTAAGTAGAAGAAGTCCAAGTGCAAAGAATAAATTCTCATTCTGTTCTCCTATACTCTAGGCCCCTCAGAAACTCAGTGCCCAGCAGGAGGCAGAGCGGCAGACAATCCAGAGTTTGCGTCAAGGTGGGGCACTAACAGGGAAGTTCATCAGCACATCATCCCTGCCAACGTGCCTTTCCACCGGGGCACCCCATGACCCTGAACCCCCCGCCGCCTCTAATAGCCACAGTAGCCATTCCTCGTTGCTCCAGCACGTCCTGCTGTTGGAGCAAGCTCGTCAACAGAGCGCACTTCTCGCAGGTACTTAGCAAAACTGAGTATACAGATATCGGGTTTTTTTGAAAGCATGCAGTCATAATCCTCTGAACGACGATTCTTGTTTGGCTCAGGGGATGGTGTATACTCCTTAAACATCTGCTATAAGTTACCATTAGCTCACACTTTTTGTCTTTATTGTCCAGTTCCCATGTATGGACAGTCTCCGCTGGTAACGGGTGAGCGGGTATCCAACAACATGCGTACAGTGAACAAGCTGCCCAGGCATCGACCACTGAGCCGTACACAGTCAGCACCCCTGCCCCAAACACCGCAGGCCCTGCAGCACCTCGTAATGCAACAGCAGCACCAGCACTTCCTTGAGAAACAGAAACACTACCAGCTGAACAAGGTATTAAGTGCTATGATGAGATACTGGGGCTGCGTCAGAAATTGCATACTTCCATACTATATAGTACGCTAAAAACAGCATGCATGCCGAGTAGTATGTCCAAATACATAGAAATCGAAAATCAGTATACGAGAAGTACACCGATGACCTACTACTTCCGGCGAGATTCTGGAGTGTGCATCCGATGTATGCTGCGCTATCCCAGGATGCCCCACGAGAGAATTCATAAATGGGGGTGAAGCGGCATAACTCGTTTAGGTCACATGATCATGACAAAATGGCAGATGTAGTATGTCTGAGTTCCATTCATGCTGCTCACATACTGTATAGAACATACTTTACTAATGGCGTTAGTAATACGTTTAAATTCAAATGCAGTAACCTACTGAAAAGTTGGCTGTTTCAGGTACAGCCCTGATGTTTGGCTTGTGATTATTTAAATTCCTTGCTAACGAGCCACGCCTCTATTCAGATTCTTTCTAAAGGGACGGATCTTCCAAGACAGCCTCCCACTCACCCAGAGGAGACGGAGGAGGAACTTACGGAAACCGCAGAGATGCAGGACGAGCGAGGGGAGGGGCCTGATCATGTAAGGGAGGGGTTACAGAAAGACAGCTCTGGTGAAACCACACCTCCCTCTGAACGCATAGTTCCGCTGAAGGGAGAAAGCACGGAAAGTGACTTGGAAGAAGAAGATGATGAAGATGAAGCGGTCGAACTGAGGGAGTGTGATGAAGACGCCCCTTATGGCCAGGTGAGGAATTACAGCTTATTGCCTCTCTTAGAAGGTTTTTGTTTGTAATTTAAATTGACGTGTACAATTTCTGCACCATAAGATTGCAATAATCATCACTATATTTGTTGAGATGCTAAAGACATCTGGGATTGGCCTGACAGATAGCCTGCCCTGCCCTAAATTCTTGCTATTTTGACTCATTTCAAAAGCCTTGAGCATGTACCTGGCATGTTTTAGCTTGCAAAGATCTCTCTTAAGCTTTTAAACCTGCTTTTAACCATTGTTCACCATTTCATTAAAAACTGGTATTGCCAGGCTTCTATATTTATCCCTATCTAGTTCCCTGCACGTGTTCTGTTTAGCATATCATGCAAAGCTATCAAAACTTTTACTTTAACTTATGTTGAACGAGTTCTAGTCATGACTAAGCAGCAAAGTGACTGCGTATAAGCATGAGGAGCTTCCATTTCGTGTGTCATTTGTCTTATTAGTTTGTATGTTTTGTACTAGAAACAGCTGTGCCCCAGTTTTCTGTGGATTTTGTATAGTCGTTCTGCTTTTAAGATCCGGTTTCTTTCCAATGCTTCTGTCACTGAGCTTTTCGAGAGCTTAAGTGCGTAGGCAAGTTCCCGATGAGTGCTGGGACGCACATGCGGGGGCTTGGTGACTGGAGATCGAGGGTATCCCTCTCAACCAGAGCGATTGCAGCTTTTTCGCCCCCTGAAAAGGAGGGATTAAAGAGGAAGATTGCTCTCTTCTCTTCCTCCCACCCGTGACTCACTACTGGAGGCAGGAGGAGAGCGAGCAAGAAGAGGGGAAGAGAGATAGATAAATAATTGCTAGATGGGAAAATGCAGTGAAATCTACTTGGGGGGGGGGGGGGGGAGCAAAGGTTTGTTTAGTTAGCAGTGCTTTGTTTGGCATTTAGCCTTTACTGTTGCTCATAATTTGGGTTGAACAATATCTTTACCTTATTTTTTAAAGCTTGACGTCAAATTTATGCATCAAAACACCAGAAAAGGCTTATGGTGGGATTTTGCTAGCTTAGCAACCACACAAAGCACCTTAGCAACCACATATCATAGTGCTAAAAACACTTCTTATCATTGTGGTGCCAACAGTGGTAAGCATCGATTTAAAAAAATCAGTTTTTGTCAAGGAGCTTATGTTCACAGAGCTGCACTTAAGCAGATTTATTCTTATCTTGCTAAAATGTACCATGGTTTTACTGTGGGATACAATCAATGTACTTCTGTATTACATTTAAATAGCTTGAGCTCTTTAAACTTTACTTAGCAGGTTTACTCTTATCTTACTAAATGTACCAAAGAATTGTTAGGAATTTTGGATTTACTACTGACTTTTCTTAAATTACTAAAAGTTTTTTTTGTCCATAGTATTTAGCCTAATACTAAGTATTTTTCTGTAACCTGCATTATTTTATTCATATTGTAGGTTTTTTTACTCTCCTGAACTGAAATATTCAATAATTCATAGGTTTTCATACAATATTTATATGTATAACTTTATATTAATTTTAGGTTAACAATAACGACTTCTAGCGGACTATTTGGAAAAGTGGCAGAAGGTAGATCTGTCGAACTGCATTCCATTCATCATAAAAACTGCAAAAAACTTATTGGAACCTGCATGGACCAAGGTCTCACAAAAATCAGTCAAGTTTGACTAAGAAAAAAATCCTGGTTTGGGGTTACATTCAGTATGGGTGAATGCGAGAGATGTGCAGAGTGGATGGCAACATCAACACTGTGAAGTATCAAGACTTTTGTGCTGTCCATTACATTACAAACCACAGGAGAGGGCAGGATCGTGCTTCTTCTCACACTTCAGCCTCCACATAAAAGTTCCTGAAAGCAAAGAAGGTCAAGGTGCTCCAGGATTGGCCAGCCCAGTTACTAGATATAAACATTATTGAGCATGTTTGGGGTAAGATGAAGAAAGAGGCATTGAAGATGATTCCAAAAAATCCTAATGAACTCTAGAAGTCCTGCAAGAACACCATTCCAGATGACTTTATTAATAAGTTATTTTAGTCATTGCAGAGATGTATGGATGCAGTCCTTCATGCTCATGGGAGTTATACACAATGTCAATAATTTTTCCCCTTACACCATGACTTTATATTATGTTAAGTGACAAGACTTTTGTCTATGCATTATGCAAAGTCAGACCTTGCTGTTCTAATTAAATAAATAAAAATCAAGGCATGATAATATTTTATTTTGGTAAAATAAGCGTAATCTAAAGGCCTTTGCCTTGCATATAAGACACTTCTGATACCAAATGATCAACTAGAAGTCAAGTTATTATTTGTTCTTCCTAAAATTTTATTAGTCGACATGACTTTTGCCAGGCAGTGTATACACAACTCCTTAACTTTTCTGATTTTGACCATAATGTAGTAATAATGTGCATCTTTTGTAAGCTACTTTACAGATAAGCTTGAATTAAATCGAATTTTATTTTAGGTTGAGTTAATTAAACTGTTTTAACTTTACCACTATATATATATATATACATATATATATATATATATATATATATATATATATATATATATATATATATATATATATATATATATATATATATATAGCTAGCACCAGTGCGGTGATTCAGTCTGTATTCCAACCAATTCATTTGCATGCCATCCAGGCAGATTTGATCCTCCAGAGGAGCTCATTTTGATCTTAACACAGACCCCACAAACACACAAACCGCTGTTGTGCGGGAGGAAGGAGAAACAAATGAATGAGTGAGAGTGAATGAGAGGCAGAGAAAGAGAGAGTTATTGAAAGAAGAGCAACACCCTCCTCCCTGCGCTCGCTCGCTCTGCCTGCCTGCAATCATTGAGAAAAACATTTCAAAAGAGCACGGCATTAGAATTCAGACTGCATCCTCCTCGCGCAGCGGCAGACTCACACACACACACATATCTACACATTCACTCCCCCATGAATGGAGCGTCTCTGACTCATCTCTCCTTGGTGATTCATCTCCTCCTCCGGACCCCGCCTGCCTTCGCTGCCCTGCACTTCACACCCAATCGCAGCCCACCGGGGTGACGTGACACGCCGCAGTGTGTGCTCGCGTGTGTGTCTGTTATGAGGTGACATGCAGTCACCGTTGAGGCAGCGATATCCCAAACACCCCTTGTCACATCGGTCAGTCACAGACCCTCGCTGGCCTTTCCTACTCATTAAAACACCTCCACCTACGTCCTTGTGTGTGTGAATGCCTCTACTTGTCTGCCTGAGTGTCTTGAATACAAATTGAGCCCCCGTCACCTGCCATAAAGAGAGAGAGAGACAGATGCTGCATGCTGAAGACAGTACCGGCAAAAACACAGGGTTTTTTTTTCCTTCAGTTTTGAGCTATTTGGCTTTTTATAAAGTGTTTTTCAGCATAATGTAAAGAAAATGTCCAAAATGCAAGTGTTTTCAATTTAGGGATAACAATACATATTTTTAGGGTTTTAGGCCTTAAAATGCATTAAATTCACTGGAATATTATCTTGTAGGTCTTCAGTCATTTTAAACAGGTCTTAATTTTTCTCTGTCCAAGTACCCAATTGGAGGGACATCCATCCAGTCAATCACCAAGAATCCATATTAATATATTTTTTTTTTATAGAGATAAAATTTACAATAGATGTTCGGCATTACAATAGATTTTTCTCTAAATTAAATTCCTTAATTTGGGGGGTGGGGGGTGGGGGGGGGGGGATTTGGGGGTGGGAACACAATTCCTCATGATAATAACAAAGCAACATATCAATTTACATGATACATTATAATCAATCAATTTGGACAAAAAGCCCACAATATTTATTTATTTTGAATATTGAATATTTATTGTATATTTTTAAATTATTTATGTTGTTGTCTCCATAATAAATATACTATTAGCTATGTTAATCCTGTCATGTAAAAAAAAGGAAATGTTATGTTGAAAAATAAGTATGCAACTGGATTTTTCTTGTTTTTACACATCAAAATATGTCGCTATTAAATAATTACATTTGACTTTTATTATTTTTTTAAATCGCAACCGACCGGGCCGTAAGCCTTTAAAGGGTCTTAAAAAGTCTTAAATTTAACTTCATTAAATCTGCAGAAACCCTGATTTTGCAATGCTTTAAAATATTGCATATTTTTACAATAAAAATCTTACAATAGAAGTTACAATTAAAAGCCGCTCTGAAATATTAAGCACCTGTTTTTTTTTTTCAACAATTTATTTTCAACTGAGAGATTTTTTAAACACATTTCTAAACATAATAGTTTTAATAACTCATCTTTAATAACTAATAATAATAATAATTTATTTTATCTTTGTCATGATGACAGTAAAGAATATGACTAGATATTGTTCAAGACACTTCTATACAGCTTAAAGTGACATTTAAATGTTTGCCTAGGTTAATTAGGTTGGCTAGGCAGATTTGGGTAATTAGGCAAGTTATTGTATAACGATGGTTTGTTCTGTAGACTGCAGAAAAAATATAGCCAAGGGGCTAATAATTTTCACCTTAAAATGGTTTTTAAAAGATTAAAAACTGCTTTTATTCTAGCAGAAATAAAACAAATAAGACTTTCTCCAGGAGATAAAATGTTATCGTGTGAATGGGGCATAAGAGTGCTAGAGTTTTTTTCAGAGAGAAAGAGAGGGAAAGTGTTTCTACATGTGGTTTGTCAAGCCCACTCACCTGTGTGAAGCACACTTCATAAAAGTACAGTGTTTGTGTCAGTTAATGTGTCAGTGAGATGAATGTTTTCTATAGGTGGCTTGTTAAGCCTACTCACCTGTGTGCAGACTCAGAATATATAGCATTTTAGCTTGGTGTGTGTTGAGCTGGGGGAGAGAAGAGGAGTCGCCCTAAACAACATTTTAGAAAACTCTTAATAATCAATAGATCATCTCGGCAAGTATGGTGATAATTTAATTATTGTTTTATCACACCATTACACAGTTTCGTGCATAATGCTTGCATGAAGAAGGGAATTGTGGATATTTGTGTTTGTGGCGGACCTCATAAACTTCAAGGTCTCATGAAAAAAAAAACTAAAATGAACCCCATCCTCTTGCATGTGCTTCCATCGCACGTTGTACTGCATCAGCGGCTCACGCAAGCACACACTATCCTGCTCATCTGATGTAGAGCAGACTCTCCAGCTGTTTACTGCAGGACACTTTCAGATTTTTGACTAATGTTTGCTGGGTTTCTGTGCGTGAGATGATCCAGATCGTGTGCTTGGACTGTGTTTAGTCTGTTATGATCTTAGCTTACTCGACACATGCACTCCGGTGTTATTTTTAGTATCACTTGCCTACTATTTTAATGTTTAATAGTTTTGACTGAGCTTTTTATTTCAACTTGAGGTCTTTTATTTCATCTGTTTTATTAGTTAGGGCGATTAATAATATTTTTAATATTTATGTAGCTTTTATTTCTGTTTTTTATTTTAATTGTCTTTTTTTTTTTTTTTTTGCTCATTTATTTATCAGTTTTATGAAAATCATATCAAATCACTTTTATTGTTACATCATCAGCTGCACGTGTGCTATGATGAGTGAAAAGCTTAGGTGCTGGCTCCAGACAGTACAAAATACAACGATTATATTGTTTTTCTTTTAATCAAGTTCAGTTTTTTTTTCATTGTTTTCCTGTATTTATATTGTTATTAATGATTCTTGGTCATTAAAAAGCATTTGTAAACAATTGGAATCTTATAAACAATCTGAAAACTTATTCAGTTCAAATATTTATCACTAATTATATTTAGAAATCCTGTGATTGATGTTAAATCCTGTGATAAAGGATAAAGGAATAATTTATATATATATATATATATATATATATATATATATATATATATATATATATATTTTTTTTTTTTTTTTTTTTTAGATTTGAAATTCACACTACTACACATCTTGATTTTAATTCTATAATAGTCCGCATTATATATCTACAGTAATTACATTTTTGGATTTAATTCCATTATATTGTTTTCAAAATTAATAGGCATCTATAAAATGAATTTAAACTAGGCCTACACAATATTGGAAAAATAATATTGCGATATTTTATTTTCTGCGTTAACAAAAATTAAATAATTGCAATGCAAAAAAAATTGTTTTTTTAACATTGCTTTGTCTCATTTCTAGTAGAAATATCTAAAAAAAAAATCTTAGATCAGGTAAAAATAATGTTTTGTTTTGAAATTCAGATGAAATAAGGCAAAATTAAGAGCAAAAAGTAAGTATTAAGTAGAAAGTATCTGCCAATAGGGTAAGTAAAATATTGTTTTTGCTTTGAAATGTGGATATTTGGATGAGAAACAAAAATAAAAAATTTAAGAAAAAACCTATGTTGCATAAATTGTATGAATATTGATTAAATACAATTTTGCAGCCCCTTTTCAACAATAATCCATTGCATATCTTTGTGATATGACTATTGTGGATGCACACATTGCGATATTGGTGCTGAAACGATATATTGTGCTATAGTTTAAAAACGTTTAGATCAAATGAATTGAACCAAACAGAACAAATTTCTTTAACACTTTTTTCTTTTATTAAATTAATCTGTCCTGAAGAGAAGCATACATATTTGATATGTAAACTGTAGAATTAAACTAAACTGAACAGAAACGGTTCATAGTGGACTTAAATATGAGATTAAATTAAACTAAATTGATTGGTTCAGCGTGAACTAAATTATGAACAGAACAAAACTGAGCTGCGCTGAATAAAGGTTGTTTGTGTGTTGTTTCCCTCAGTATTTGGACCAGCAGCATGTGCAGCAGCTCAACGTGTTCCAGGCCTCTCTGTCCATCACAGGAATGCCCCACAGACCCCTGGGAAGGGCTCAGTCGTCCCCTGTCACCTCCAGTCTTAAAGGAACAACCCTGAACGAGGTGCCCATTAAGCATCTCTTTACGACAGGTAATAATGATGTGGAAAATCTTTTGAAGCTTTAGCACGTGGGATTGATATTGATAAGACTTGAATTTTGGATGATTTGGTCACTGCCTGTGCAGGGCTGGTTTACGACACCTTCATGCTGAAGCACCAGTGCATGTGTGGAAATACCAACATTCATCCCGAACACGCGGGTCGCATTCAGAGCGTTTGGTCCAGGCTGCAGGAAACAGGACTGCTGGGCCGCTGTGAGGTGAGTTTGAGGCGCCACCTGCTGGAAGGGTGGAGGAACAGCAAGAAGATCAACAAGCTTTTTCCACTTACGCAGGGCCCGTTTTTGGGGTTAGTATAGAAAGATTATACACGATGCATTAAATATTTTTTCATTATTATTTGATTTGATGTGCATTACTGTCGTAATATTTAAATATGGTAGGCAATAATGAAGATGACAAAGACATTTGTATATTTTCTGTTAAAGAATCCTGGAAAGGAATCACAATTTGTGCTAAAATTTTAGACAAAGCAAGTGTTAGAACAGCTGTTTTCGACATTGATAATCATAAGAAATCTTTCAAATGAATTAGTATAAATCAGTAATAGAGGCATAAGAGAATTTGAACAAGAACATCCGAACATCCACACTTTAAATGGTATAGTACAGGGGTCACCAACATGGTGCCCGTGGGCACCAGGTAGCCCGCCAAGTTCACGAGTTGCCTAAAAATAAGTCACCATAGCACTACATATGAGTAAGCTGCAACTAATATTTTTATAGGTATTCTTTTTAAATCAGACTTGCATTGGTGTAAATTTGAAAATTACTTTAAGTTATATATTAAAAAAAAAACTTTAAAAACAATTTCAGACAAATGAAGTGTTGCATATTGATATTATCTAACTTGTTAAATCATTGTTGACAACTACTGTGAGAAATCATTAACATGATCAATGTCTTCACATAGATGAATATTATTAATTATTAATAATACCATGTAATTAAAAGTAAATTAAGAAAAATGTGTTATTTAATAAGTGGTAGCCCTTCACACTAATCGGTACTCAAGAAGTAGCTCTCAGTTTCAAAAAGGTCGGTGACCCCTGGTATAGTATAACAATGGTGCTAATGCATTTTCTCCTTTAATTTAGCTTCCAAGAATCTAAAAAGAGCCGCATAATGTTAACTTATGATATGTTATGATAGCTGTTTTTAATGTTTGGTTATGATTGAATTGCACCTTGTTACAATTATGAAATAGTTTGATAACAAGTAGGAAATATTCACGGGCCAATGACATGACCACATTAAAATGGTATATACAATGTTTTTTTTGTTTTTGTTTTTTGTTAATGTTTATAGGAGTACATAAAATATAAACTGACACAAACCAAAACAATAATATCGAAGGGGTAATTAAATACAAATACATTTAGAAAATAAAAGATAATTCTAATGATATAATATAAACATATATGTAAATATTTATATTATTTATCATGAATATTGTTTACAATATTTTGTAAGAATTTTTGTATTTTTAAACGAAATTATTAAACAAGCACAGTGGTAATTTAAAGAGAAAAAATGCCAAATAATCATTAATAGGGTTGCATGGTTTACCGGTACTAGCTGGTAGTATATGGCTTCAAAATATTGGCGTTTTAAACGGTAGTATAGTCATTAATGATCTATGTGCAATAGATAAAGTTGCATGTGGAAAAGTCAGTAAAATGCTCACACGTTTCTGCAGAAATAGACCATTTTATTCAAATAGTATGTGGAGCACTTTAAGGTTGCAAAACTATGTAGAATTCAGGCCTTTCGTGGTAGCCTATTGCACGTTTTCGGATCAGAATCAGTTAATTTCTGTTCCTGTTAATATGATTTAGTAGCTATAACAACTGCGACAATCTCCTGAAAATAGGAGAGCAACAGGAAACATTGAAACAATTTTTGACCACCTCATATAGCCTAATTTTGTTGAAATAAAAATTTGTAGCTATTTTTGTTCGATATAATTTGTATATTTATATTAATGTGTCTTTTGTTGGTCGGTATTTCTGACAATTGTCTTTATTTCATAGATTTGAGTTATGAATTACAGTATCACAATACTACTTGGTATCATGATACTTCAACTGGTATAGTATCTTAATATGAATTAATGTTATCACGACCACACTAGTCACCAAAAAAATAAATGAAAATACTACAACTAAATACACATGCACTATATACAGTTGAAGTCAGAATTATTAGCACCTCTGTTCATTTTTTTTTCTCTGTTCATTTAAAGGCTTAACTAGGTTAATTAGGTTAACTAGGCAGGTCAGGGTAATTAGGCAAGTTATTGTATAACGATGGTTTGTTCTGTAGACAATCGAAAACAAATATAGCTTAAAAGGGCTAATAATTTTGACCTTAAAACGGCTATTAAAAAATAAAAAACTGCTTTTATTCTAGCCTAAATAAAACAAATAAGACTTTCTCCAGAAAAAAAAAAATATTATCAGACATACTGTGAAAATGTCCTTGCTCTATTAAACATGATTTGGGAAATATTTTTGAAAAATTAAATAAATTCAAAAGGGGGCTAATAATTCAGACTTTACCTGTATATATTATCATATATGTTCTGTATTTTATCAATTGGTTATTAGATTTATATTTTTGATTCTTTACAATGTAATTTAAGGTCCTTCAACCTTCAAAACCTGAAAATACCATTACATTTTAAAAGTTTTTACCAAGTCTAAACGGGCCATTGGAAATAAATTACAAGAGTCGTAAAGTACTATCGAGTCAAATTCTCTTCAATTATTAATAACCTGAATGAATCAGGGGAATATTATTCCTCTAAATCCTTTTTCTAAAATCACAGAAACAACCCTGTAAGGGCCAGGAAGAAGCCATGTAAAAATAATTGATCAATCGACTGTGACGTCCTTGTTCTGTTTTATAGGTCACTGACAATATCTCCATGTTCTCTCTCTGTTTGTTCACAGAGGATCAGAGGAAGGAAGGCCACATTAGACGAGATCCAGACCGTCCATTCAGAGTATCACACGCTGCTCTACGGCACCAGTCCACTCAACCGACAGAAGCTGGACAGCAAGAAACTTTTAGGTGCGTTTGAGCCGCTCTTTGTTTGATTTCAGGACACCAGAGGATTCTCCTTGGCTTGCTTTCTTCCGATCTAATGGGCTGCTTAAGCAAACCTCCTCTGACAGACGCCTGCGCTGTTTTTAGGTCCTAGACATTTGCCCACCTCCGCTTCTGACTCACCAGCCAACAACTGTGTGTGTGTGTGAAGGTTCAGCTGCGGACAGAGTTGCCATCACTTCCACATGAGACACACTTTTTGAAGTAGCGCACACTGTTTTTGACCTTGAGTGCTCTTTGTAGACAGTGAGACAGATGACGGTTGCGTCAGCCTCATCTAGTGAAGATCCTCAAGACTGAATTAGCCAATTATGTCATTATCTCAATAGATGATAAAGTGTGAACAACAGATGTGGGTTAAATATAACACTTGTTCATGTCAGAGTTTCTGATTCAAGTGTTTTCTTTTTCTTTTTTTTTTTGTAGGTCCAATAAGCCAGAAAATGTATGCTGTCCTGCCGTGTGGAGGCATCGGGGTACGGTTATGTCTTTTCATTAAACTTATTGATTTAATAAAGACTTCAATGTAATGTGTAATGCACGTTACTGTGAATGATTATTGTTCATGTTTACTTTATTAATAGTGTAATAATATATTATTATAATGAGTTAATAAAGGAATTGAAACGCATGTTTATATATATATATATATATATATATATATATATATATATATATATATATATATATATATATATATATATATATATATATATATATATATATATATATATATATATATATATTTCCACCATTTTTTAAAAGCAATCCAAGCAAAATTTATTCTGTCAGAATTTTTGTCAAAATACCTCCAACTTTAATTAAATTTTAAAATTACAATGCAAATAGATGAAATTATATAATATGTATACGTTGTCCCACTAGCCTGATTTATATGACCGCATCACCTTCTTCTTCTGCGTCTTTTTAGCTTAGTACCATGTTTTCGACAGTGGTGATAATTTCAACAGTACGGGCAGTGCGTGGATGATCACTCTCCAACACACGATCAATTTAGCCAGAATAAAACAAATAAGACTTTCTCCAGAAGAAAAAATATTATCAGACATACTGTGAAAATGTCCTTGCTCTGTTAAACATCATTTGGGAAAAATTTTTAAAAGGAAAAGGGGGGGGGGGGCTAATAATTTTGACTTATATTTATATATATATATAAAGTCATTAAATATCAAAAGCAATAATAATTATGATAATTTGTTTTAATTATAACTAAACTATTATTAATAGTAATCACCAGTTAACTAATTTATAATTAGCTGATTTTGGGGTTTTTTTCCACATTTTTATATTTATTTTATAATTGAAAATGTCTAATGTTCTAGTTAAATGTGTTGCAGTTATTTATTAAACTAATATCAATAATACCTACTAAACGAATATAGATTATTCATAATTGCATGCAGCTAATCCTCAATCTAACTCAAACTGTATTGTAATTCTTTGATTAATCTATAGCTTAGCACTGATTACAAGTTTCCATTACAATTATAGACATTTATTAAGAAAGTAAGCAGGATAAATTGTGAGCTCATCATTTTGACAGTAGTTCAGTGTAATAATGTATATTGATACTGAACATGGGATATTTTCCTCTAGGTGGACAGTGACACAGTGTGGAACGAGATGCATTCGTCAGGAGCCGTACGGATGGCAGTCGGCTGCGTCATTGAGCTGGCATTTAAAGTTGCAGCTGGGGAGCTGAAGGTTCATTTTCACTTCTCGTACCACAGCTTCATGTTTATTTGATGTTCTGCTATAAATATTCCTTGCCTATATTAAATCACATGTGCTTCTGTAGTCTTCATCTTCCTTATCTTCTATTTATGTCTGATGAACAGAATGGTTTCGCAGTGGTCCGTCCTCCTGGTCATCATGCTGAGGAATCCACCGCCATGTAAGTCCAGTAAAATGACTCTTTCTTGGGGGAGTTCATGTGATTTATATATGAAAAGTTTATTTGCCAGTTTAGATTCCAGAAACAGAAATTATAAGTAGGTCCAGACGGATTCTGCCGACTTTTTTTTGCTATTTCTGCGGAGGATTTTGCTAAATATTTGCAGATTTCTGCTGAATTGTTTTAGGAGTATCATAACTAAAACCTTAATATGTGAAATTAAAAATAATATGTTTTTAACTTTTGTTTAATGTTTAAAATGCAAATCCAATTAGATTCCCTTTATTTGGTAAACAAAGCAAGTCTCTTATATAATATCTCTACTAAAAGACAGAAAATATTAATGTACAAACTGCATTGTACATAAATCAGATGAAGATTTTCATATTGTTTAATAATATTACTGAAATTTACTTTAAAACTGAATAAATAAAAAATAGATTTACACATATTTACTCAAGTAAAAAAACAGAATTATTAATTGGGCTAAAAATCTGCAGAAAATCTGCGGAATTCTGCGTGCGCAGATTCCATGTGGGCCCACCTTTAAGATAAGAAACTTAGAAACTATGTTTTTACATTGAGTATTAAAAAGCTCAATTACAAATAATATATTTCTTAAAAATTCTAAATCTATTCTCAGGAGCACAGAAAAATCATACTCGAGTAAAAGTACCATTACTTACCCAAAAATGTAGTGCAGCTAGAGTAAAAGTATCTGTTGTAAATATTAGTCAAAGTATGAGTAAAAAGTAGCCTTTTTTTTAAAAGTACTCATGAATAGTGAATATTTCACTGTGAAATGTTAATGCGTTTATATGCAGTCTGTGCATATTTGTGAAAACATAACATTTTGTAGTGCATTTAGTTATTGTTTAAGGCCATTTGATGATTTCATGTCATCATACAGTAGACATTCGTCATCTTCTCATCAGTGACATGCTGTCTAAACAGACTAACATCTCTTGCATTCCTGGAGGGCCGCAGCTCTGCACAGTTTTCTCCAACCCTAATCAAACACAGCTGATCCAACTAAAATCCAACCAAATCGCATACTTATGCACTATTCCACGCCATTTTGTAGTATAAATAGTGTAAGTAGTGCGTTCACACTGAAAACTATATAAATGATAAGTGCACTTTAATCACGTGGATGATGCGCTCATTCAATCGGTAAAATGATGTGTGTGCTTGACACACTCAACAACTGCAGCTTCGCTCACATAGCGGAAGGGGCGGAGCTATCGGGCACACAAGTTGGATTACTTTATTTATTTTGGATTGTGAAAGCAAAATTCTTCTACGAGAGAGATTATACCGCCTCCCCATGAGGAATGTGGTTATACTCATGTCAGGTATTATTTGGTAGATTGGTCATTTATTTCTCTAATTTGGCAACTGACAAACGTCATCAGGGAAACGGTTTAAATTCTCACTTAGTGAAAAAAACATTAGTGCTCCATTTGAGACAAAACTACATCTATATACTATGCTGTTGAGTGTATAAGTACATAATGCATTAGTGTATAGTGTGCCATTTGGGACGCAGCTAAGATGTTCAAGACTAGTCACTAGTAGTCTTGAAAACCTTAATTAGTTGGATCTGATGAGTTTGATTAGGGTTGGAGGAATTGAGTTTGAGACCTATGAAAGGTTTTAAACATCTTCTTGGACACTTTCCAAACTTGTCTTGAAATTGGTCATTATGATGCAAAATTATTATTATTTCATTGGACTGGAATCGCAGGACTGGTTTTTCTACTCAGCCAATCTCCATAGACAAGAAAAAAATTAGGTAGTGACTGCAGATTAAAGTAAAAGTACCGATACAGCACTACAATGCACTTAGGGGAAAGTTAAAGTACACATTTTTAAAACTATATAGTAAATTACAATTTCTGAGAAAAACTACTCGATTGCAGTAGTTTGAGTATTTTGTTACTTTACACCACTGTCTATTCTAAATCTATTATTGCAGCTCTGTTGATCACTACAAAAAACAGCAATTAATTAAACATTTTTTCTAAAAATTCATTACAATCAATCGCAGTTTTATTTTATTTTGCAATAATTTTACATTTTAAGTCTTTAAATAAATGTAGAAACAACAAAGACAGTATATATTTAATCTATATAGTTCAATGGCATCTTTTTATGAACTCTGAACATTTTCTAATATGTAACCAGTGATTGTAGCCATTCATCGCTATAGCACAACTGAGAGCTATCAAGCACAGTTTAACTGTGTCTTTAATTGAACTTTTTTTGCCAACTAACTGATTCATGACCTGACTGATGATTAACTATGGCATTGCATGCTCGTTATTTGATTTGCTCTATAATATTGCAGAGCGCACTACTGTATTTATGCATCCAATTTCAGAGCAGGTCCTATGAGTGCAGCAATAATGGCTGACAGGACAGGAAAAGTGATTTTTACTGACATTTAGCCTGACAAAATTTCATCTGACCTGCAGTTCAGTGTTGTTCTACTGAAGCTCCTTTTCATCTAAACTTTTTTTTATGCTTTTTTAGCTTTGTTGAAATGCGTTTGAAAAGTCTTCCATTTTGATGTGGTCACAAAGACTAAATAAATGCAGTTCTTGTAGAGAAAAAAAGACAGAAGCATCAGTTTGACTGCGGTGACCACAGTTCGTTAATGATCATTGTGTGCTATAATGCTAATTGTAGCACTAATGTGCATAGGTTGTAAAAAGCCATTCATAATAAAATCATTCCTGGTCTTAAACGTGTATCCAGTGTTCTCAGTGTGGGGACGTTTGTGTGTTGATGTGGGTTTTGGGTGTCCAGATGTGTGATATCTAGATGGATGAATCATTTATGAGTGTTCGCATACTGTATATAAGACTTCACTTCTCTATATGTGTGTCTTGGCAGGGGTTTCTGCTTCTTCAACTCAGTCGCCATCACTGCCAAACTCCTGCAGCAGAAACTCGGTGTGGGCAAGATCCTCATCATAGACTGGGTGAGTTTTTAAGGATGTACATGCAATACACAGCCACTTGTTATGCTACAAGGCAAACATCAGTATTAATATAACTACTAGGCTGTTTCCTGTGCAATTAGTACATTTGTGAACTTTCCTACTATGTATTCCACTGTCCAGTGTTAGGGGTATTATAGCAAAGTAGAAGCATTTGGGAAATACAGCAACTCAGCCACAAAATAGTAGAATTACAGAGTGCATACTGAGGTGTATAGTACACAGAAGTCACCAGCTTTCTTCAGGCTCAATAGCTACAGTCCTTAAAAGTTTGGTAGTCTTCATATTTGCTTAAGAAGAGTGTGTAGAGATCTTCATTAAATGGGTTTCCATGGCTGAGCCGCTGCATTCAAGCCTTACCAAGTGCAATGCAAAGCGTAGGATGCAGTGGTGTAAACATGGCACCACTGGATTCTAGAGCAGTCTGGAGTCAGAATCTCTGCCTGGCAATCTGATGGACAACCCTAAGTTTGGTGGTTGCAAGTAGAATTGTGCTTGTCTGACTGCTTTGTAGCAAATGTAAAATTTGGTGAAGGGATGATTGTGTGGGGTTATTTTGTTAGGTTGTTGGGATTGGTCCTTAGTTCCAGTAAAAGGAACTCTTGATGCTTTAGCATACCAAGACATTTTGGACAATATCATGACCCTTTTTAATCTAACATTACTGCCCACCAGTGCACAAATTAACACTCTTAAAGACATAGATGATTGTTTTGGGTGTGAAGGAACTTGTCTGGTCTGCACAGAGTCCTGAACATAACCCAATTGAACATATTTGGGATAATTAAAACATTGCAACTTGGTCAAATATCATGTGCCTGGCCTCTGGATCCATCCATGGAGCAGGGAATTTTGTAATGTTATACAATGTCTTGGTGTGTTTTTTAGCAGTTTATGTGTTTTTGAGTTTGATTAATTGTCATCGACATGTTTACCGGACCACAAATACCAAAATCAGACTTTACTCATTGCTTTTTATAGGATATCCATCATGGAAACGGGACCCAGCAGGCTTTCTATAATGACCCCAATGTGTTATATATTTCTCTGCATCGTTATGACGATGGCAACTTCTTCCCTGGCAGTGGCGCTCCTGAGGAGGTAACAACATTTCCATCACATTATTTTGTGGCGTATGACTAAAGTTGCCATTGTTTTTCAATATGGCTTGCTCTGCAGGTGGGTGTGGGTCCAGGAGAGGGCTTTAATGTCAACATTGCCTGGACAGGTGGAGTGGAGCCACCTATGGGTGATGTGGAGTATCTAACCGCCTTCAGGTGACATCTGCACTTCCTGTCTGTCTTTCAATAATAGAGATAAGAAAGCTGATGCTAGATTTAATCTCACTTTCAGAAACTCTTGCCTGTCAGCTTAAAAAGGTTAAACATAGGTCCAGAGAGGACTTGTCAAAAACATCCTAAAACATCAAATTATTAAGATTTTTTTTACTTTTACACTGAAATAGATTTTAGTAGATGACAGTCTGTTTACATATTTATTCATTGCTCAATAGTAGAAAACAGGGGGGGGAAGTGTGTATTTGCTCTTGAGGCCAAAATATTGTATAAAATGGATGCCTGCTAACAAAGAAAGCATGGCTTTACGCTAAAATAATACTTGGATTAAATATTGTTATTTCAGTCGGAAACACAATCAAAATGTAGTATTAAATATGTAATATTATACATATTTTTGGAAATTGTATACTGTTTTCATTAAAAAACACCCAAAATAGACATAAAAAGGAATTGAAAAAATGTCCATTAGGATGCACAAGAATTATTTGTTTTTCTACAAATCTCACAAAATGGTATTTTAGACTTCAAATTGATGTGATTTGAGGAGGAGTGTCCTTCCAGAGCATTAGCACATATTCTGATTTTAATTAAAGATTACCAGAGCAAGCATTTGTTTTCCAATGTATAAACATGAATTGGTCACCTCAATATTAGCAAATCTATTAAATAGTCAGTCATTAGCTTGTGAAAAAAGTCAGTTTAGAAAGAAAAGAATCAGTTTTTACTTCATGAATATTTATTTATTATTATAATTTTTTTTTGTAATGCTTTGGTTTCATTTCTTATGGAATCTAAATGGTTAATGGAAAGGTACATTTAAGGTAAAAACATTTCATGAAACTACACTAAAACTCTTGAAAAATGTGTGTGCTTGTAGAACGGTGGTGATGCCCATTGCCAATGAGTTTTCGCCGGATGTGGTGCTGGTGTCAGCTGGTTTCGATGCTGTGGAGGGCCACCAGTCACCGCTGGGCGGATACAACGTCACTGCCAAATGTGAGTAAACGCGAGAGCTCAGATTGCAGAAATGTTTTTAGTATCCCCTAATTGTATTACACACATGAAAGCTATGCATTTTTCTAGATCATTGCTCCAAATGTCATACTCATAGTACTTGGATTAGTCTTTTTCACTCCTAACCTACATTACACTGTGGTTTCTAGTTCATGAATTACCTAGCATGCTCCTGTCTCTTTTCGTAGGCTTTGGTCATCTCACTAAGCAATTGATGAAGTTGGCTGGTGGTCGTGTGGTTTTGGCACTGGAAGGAGGTCACGACCTCACCGCCATCTGTGACGCATCTGAATCCTGCGTGGAGGCACTTTTGGGAGATGAGGTGCCTGACATTAATTCACACACACACACACACACACACATAAACACAAACACACACACACACACACACACACACACACACACACAATAATACGTGACATCTGGTACTTTTGGTTTAAAACTGTTAGGGTTTGGAGTCTTAGTGATAACAACAAAGGGTTTAAAAAATTGTAGTGATCAGATTATTTCTTTAAAAATGTATTATGTATATAGATATTGCTTTGTCATAAAGTTCATTATATTATATTATATAAAAATGCATGTAAGTGTATAAACACTTGATAGCTTTAGTGTCCACCCTATATACAACACCTTAACTTTTCCTGCTTTTTATTGTAATGTAATGTGCATTTTTTGTAAAACTGCTTCGGAACAATTATTACTATAAAACTCACTATACAAATACATCTAGGGCTCTATTTTAACCATCTAGTCTAAAGCGCATTGTGCAAAAGCATTTAGGGTGTGTCGAATCCTCTTTTGCCTTTTTAAGAATGAAAAAATACGCTCTGCATCCTGGTGCATAGTCTAACAGGGTTGTGCTTATTCTCTTAATGAGTTATAGGTGTGTTTTGGACATAACGTGCATTAAACCAATCAGAGTATCATCTCACATTCCCTTTAAGAGTCAGTTGCGTCACTTCCTGGTGCATTTGCTATTTAAATGGTGGACTTTGTAAGTGGAAAAACAGAACACTTCACTAGCAAGAAAACAGTTAAACAGACCATCTGCAGCAAGAGGATAAAGAATGAGCCTCTTCCATTCTCTTTACATAGATAAGGAAATGGTGGAAACTCACTCCACTGAAGACATCCATTAGTCTACATATTTTATATAGTTTTGTTAAGTGCAAAGATTTGTTTCAAAACTATTTCTAAACTTTCCAGCAAACAAATAAATGAACAATAATAACCAAGTGTGGTCAAAAACCTTACTATTTATGTCCAAACACACGTCCTGTTCTTATGCCCCATATGTTGATGCATACATCTCCAAAACCCAACAGATGGACGAATCTAAACTTATTTTAATTAAAGCAAATATGAATATGCATATAATTAATAATACTGCTAACAATAATAACATTAAATGCAAATTGTCATTAATAAACTGAACAAGGCATGGAGGCATGAAGAAGGCATGGCATAAGCAATGTGTAAGTGTTTGAACCCACATAGGTGCATTACTAATGCGCTCTGCGCTAGACTTTAGACCAGCTTTTAGTTGGTCATTGACGCAGCCTATTTCAATTCCTCAAATTAGCAACGCGTCAACGATGTGCCTTAATACACCACCTGTATCGACCAGCACAACAATGAGTCCACAAAGTGGCGCAAATGGATTTGCTATTTAAACAACGTGGTGCAAAACGAGAAAATTATAGAGTTGCGCTGGTCTGAGAATGGCAACAAATCGCGCCAAACACGCCTTATTGCACCGGGTGTATGATAGGGCCTTGAATTAAACTTAGTCAGTTAGATTTTTGTGAGGAACATGGTATGATATGTCAGTTTGAAAAAAAAAATTCAAATTACTGTTATTGTTTGTCAATGAATACATTTTTTATATACATTTTTGGTGTGTTTTGCAGTTGAATCCTCTACCATTGACGGTGCTTCAGCAGAAACCATGTCCAAAAGCTACAGCTTCTCTAGAAAGAGTCATTGAGATTCAGAGTAAGTGAAATTCAAGAGAAGTAAGAATGATTATATTATATTATATTATATTATATTATATTATATTATATTATATTATATTATATTATATTATATTAAATTAAATTATATTATATTATATTATATTATATTATATTATATCTTATTATATCTTATTATATTTTATTATATCATATTATATTATATTATATTATTCATTTGTTTTAACTTTTCATGTATTATTTATTGCTTTATATAATTTTTTTAGTTTTTAGAGATCATTTTGTATTAATAAATATTGTTAATGTAAATTTTTTTTATGTTTGTTTATGTACAGTGTCTATAGAGAAGCATAATACCCTTTGAAATAATGACTTTATTTGTCATACAGCCTGAAATCAACTTGCATTCCAAATAGCTTTTCCAACCTTTGAAATGTTTTGAGCCTTCTTCCAACCTGTGGCTTTCTACAACTTTAACCCGAAGGTCTTTAGAAAGCTGGATGTAAGTTTCACATGGTATGATGGTTTTCTATTGGCACTGTATGTACAATGAAATACAGTATATATATATATATATATATATATATATATATATATATATATATATATATATATTTATTTAAAAAAAAAATTTTTTACAGTAGAAAAATACAATAAAATATTTAAGAATCAGTTTTATTGATCACTTTATTGATCACTTTTAAATCCCTCGTGTCTCCTCTTGATTGACCTGTTCTGGTGATGTGCAGGTAAACACTGGACGTCTCTGCAGAGGTTGGCTCCCACGGTAGGTCAGTCTCTACTGGATGCTCAGAGGCGAGAGAAGGATGAGGCAGACACTTTGACCGCCATGGCCTCTCTCACTGTGGACAATGAACAGCAAACCACCTCCACTGAAACCAGCAGGTACTGCAACTCTGCTGTTATACATCTTAAAATACAAAATAAGAGTGGTGTTTAGATGTCAATATGAGTGTTTCTGCTTTAAATAATACGTTATTTTAGCCTTCAATAATCGTTACCAAACATATTCTTGTGGAATGCCCACTTTTTTACGTTATCAGACAACGATTTCTATCTGGAAAGACTTTAAATGAAATATTTTCAAATATGAATCATTCCAAACTTAAAAGTAAAACTGTTTTAGATTTTTATTTTATATTATTATTATTATTATTATTAATATTATTATTATTTATGTAATTTATTTTATGTATTTTTGTCGCAGTTGATAACTTTTAATTGTTAGAATATTTTTTATAACTATAGAGAAGTGATATTTATAAAATGCGGTAAACTTGATCTGTTTTTGTGCCATGGCATAGCCAGAGAAGCTGATAATTCTCTCTCATTAATCCTTACCCAATGACTGGTCCCCTCAGATCAGCAGAGGAGCCGATGGAGGAGGAGCCCGTGTTGTAGAAGAGCGAGTTCAGGTCATCACTGCTCCAGTCTTCTCGTCCACATGTGCTTGGCACTGGTCACCCTGACGTCACGCCTCATGTTCCTCCTCCCAGCTCTTTGATTGGTTCCCTCGGTCCGTCACTCATTTCCAGGTGCTTGACTGACACGTTCACAGCACACCCACTTTTTGCTTTTCCGAGGTTAAAGCATAGCAAACCGTTGCCCAAAGTGGACAACAAAGGCATGATGGGTAATTACAGGACCACTCCAGTGAGGGTTGCGCAGCTGGACAGGCCGAACAATGGAAGTACTCTTCAGAAAGAGAGGCCTTTGATTTCATTTTCATGTTGTGTTGGACTGAGGATGTAAAGAAGAACATGCAAAAAAAAAAATTTAAATGAAGAAGAGGAGGAAGGGAAAAAACACGACAGCACAGGGATGTTGTCGCACGGAGAGCCGCGAAAAAAAAGCTTTGTTTTCTGTACAAAGTATAAGTGATGTACAAAGTTCCAAAAAAGCCAACAAGCAGCAAAAATACTTCAGCACAAATCACAAATATACACTCATTCACCGTTGAGCGCAGTTCCCGGAAGAGGAACTCGACGTCCAGATGCCGTCGAAACACCTTTTGCAGACAAGTATACTCGTTTACACTGTACCGTGTTGATTTTTTATGGTATACTTGTTCATCTGTATAGTATCCTGTTATGAAAAGCACACAAACATACAAGAAATATAAATATATATATATATATAAACATATGTAAATATATATATATATATATATATATATATGTATATATATATATATATATATATATATGTATATATATATATATATATATATATGTGTGTATATATATATGTATATATATAGTTTTGTGTGTACCGTATACACATTTGAGCATACTTTATATCCCCTTATTCGGACATTTTCTTATCAGCTGTGGTTGTACATACAGTAAAAGAGTCTGCAGACTTTTCAGAACGTGGAAGAAGGATGCTTAGCCTTTCATCCCTTTTCTCTCAGAGAAAAAAAAGCTTCTTTTTTGGGGGAATATACGGCTTCGCGATGACATACTCGCAAATAAACGTAAATAACAGCAACTCATCCGTTTTACGACGAAAGGTGTAAACGACGAAGAAAGGATTTCAGTCTTGACCTTCGGGCGAAGATGCTGATAGAAAGAAAGACTTTTTTTTTTCGAAGAACTTGGTGCCTTTTATACTAAGGAAAACATTCAACACCAATACTTAACGAATCACGAGTCCTCAGACTTAACTTACATTGATTTGTTTGTTTTTCAAATTGCCTTAATTTTTTCGAAGAAAAAGAATTTTAGCCATGAACGATGGAGAGCACAAAACATTTATCCTCCTCCTGCCCCGGTTTCTTTCTTTATTTTTTGTTATATATATTTTTTCGTTTGTTTCATTTTTATGTAAATGTTGTATCGGTAAACGGTTTTGATACATTTTTATTTTACTGTTAACGAAAGAACAAAGGAACGAGAGAAATTCAACGATTGTTTTATTTATCGGTCCTGTGCTGTAGGCTAGCACATGACATGATTGTTTGGAAACACTGACACTGTTGTGACCAATTTTTGCTTGTTTGTTTTTTTTATCCTCACCTTTGTACATTTGTTTGGCTCCTTTTATTTGACTTTATTTCCACTGGCGAGAGTGTTAGCGGTGACTTTTTTTATTGAACCATTTCCTTTTTGTACAAAAATGTAAAACAAACAACAACAACAACAAAAAAAAAGAGTCTGTATCAGTGTTAATTTTGTCATTTGATTTGAAGTATTCTCTGATAAGGAATGTACAGCGTGGTACAGATATTATCGATAATGTTGATTTTATGTCACTGTGCAGTGCATTTGGCATTGTCCTTTTTCAGGTTTTCAAGATTTTTTTCCGGCAATAAGAGTGACTACCACTTTTTTTTGTTTAACACTAAAATACTACAACCTTTTGGTTACATCTGTCATCTTTTGATATAGCTTTTACGCTATTGATATGGCTATTTTTCACCAGACTAATTAGTATTGTTCATAACTGTCGTCTAATAGCTGGTTAATCACTTGTGGATGAAACGCAATGGCTTGTTTATGACCCTGAAATAACGATCATTACATTTTCACTGTGTGTGACAACAGCTTTTTTGAGGGGCCAAATTCGAATTAACCTACTGCGTTTTTATTTAATGTCGCCCTCTTGCTTTTGCAACGTCGTAACTTGTTGTGAGAGGTGACAACATGCCTAAAGACGAAGACTTTTTTTTTTTTTTTAAATAATGAGACTGAACCGGGCCTCAAGCATCTTGCACTAATACTACACTGTAGGTCCGATAATTGCGTTTCTTTTTCACTTTCAGTTCTCAGACGCAAATTACGAGGCATTAAAAGCAAAGTAAATAATCTCAGCTAATGCGTTTTTTAATCACGCACGGTTTTTTTCCTATGTGTACATTCATTAGTTCACGGTTGATATTGAAATTTCGATGCGCATTTCTTGACTCCGCTCTCGTTTGATTTATTTATTTGGAGTCAGAAATGATGGCTGAGAGTAAGTTGCATTGCTTCTGGATAAGTGTGTCTTGTTGTAAATCTATGATAAGTTACGTACATTTTGTCGTTTCAACAGCCTCATCGCCTCTGGGCAATAACTTTTTAAAATAAAAAACAAACATCGGCCAGTTTTCCGCAAAAACAGTCATTTATGAAGAGCCATGTCACCATCCGATAAAGCATTTACACATTTCAGCAGTTTTTTGCTCTGTATGTTGAATCACTAGCGTCACCTTCAGCTGTTCATTCTGTCCCGTTATCGTTTGCGTACCAAGTGCTTTGACTTGGCAAAGAAGCAACAGGAAACGAACACTTTGTGAAAAATCAGGCACTCGCCTGTGTACGTAGATACTGTAATATACACTAAGAGATTTTCCCTCTTCTATGTGGCTATGGGATGATATGTGCTGTCTGAATCAGGAACTACTGTGATCAGGTTTTGTAACGTTTGGATGTAAATCACCAACCATTTGTGCATAGTTTTGTATCTTCACCTTATATGGTGTCAAACAGTTTATTGGCTGTGCAGTTGGTGGTGAAAGCTTTACTGTTCGGTCCTTTTTTTGTTTATTTAAGGAGGAATCAGCTGACATTTTTGTCCCTATTTTGAGGATTGAAAACCTTCTCCTTGGGTGTGCTGGGTTGAGCAATACATAGAGAGAGGAAATAATCGAACAGATGTAATACAGTATGACTGTTGGCTTTCTTAAAGAGATAGTTCACCCAAAAAGGAAAGTTTATGCACGGTTTAAGATGTAAGTGACTTTATTTCTTTGGTAAAACATTAAAGTTTTTTTGTTGTTGAAATTACTGGTGATTTAAAGTAAATTGCCAATTGAGAGTCAAAATTAAAGGGATAGTTCACTCAAAACTGAAATTTGTTATAATTTAATCAGCCTTCACTTGTTCCAGACCTATAAGAGTTTCTTTCTTCTGTTGAACACAAAAGAAGATATTTTGAAGAATGCTAGTTGTTGCACTCATTGACTTCTATTTTATTTTTTGCCTACACTGTGGCAGATCCTTCAGGACTTTGCAATACCACAATGCTGAATTCAGTTCAAAATCAAGCAAATGTCCCAAAACTTTTGTGGAGCTCACAATTTAAATTTTTTCCCCAGAGATTTCCTGCATATTTTAGACGATCAGGACAATTTTCCACCATGCCATTCAGTTGTATCAGTCGCTAAACTTCTATATATTGTAAATATGCATCTGTTATCATAAGCATGTCCTTCTCTCTCGCTCTCTCTCTCTCTCTCTCTCTCTCTCTCTCTCTTTCACACACACTGTCCGAGTGGCATCATTTCCTGCAATATGTTCAAATAGCCGTCAAACAACATGGATGACTTGCCATTTATTTTATTTCAAATTCAAGTGGTTTTATTTTGAAATATGATACAGCAGGGTTTAGTGGTAAACTGTAGTGTCTCTAGACCAGAGATGCCCAAAGTTGACCCATGATAACCTTCGATTTGGCTCGCCACCCCATCTGAGAATATTTGGATTGTGGAGGGTGATAGTAAGGTTGGGGCGAATGCTACAACAGAGCTCGTCAACTTCTATTTTAACATACCCTTTTGTTTAATTGTTGAGCTACAAAAAAAACTTGAAATTAAATGTTGTGAATTAATCAGATTTTTAAAAATGTAAACACTGTTACTCGACCATAAAAGACAATGCACAAGACATCGACGAGCAAATGAAGACAAAGGCAGGTGCAACTTGACGAGAATATTCAGCATTGCACTCCATTGTGTTATAAATAGGGATGTTCCGATCAGGTTGATCTCGAGTATCTACCGATACCGAAACCTGATCTGATAATTATATAATATATATATAAAAAAGAATAGAGCGAAGAAACAGATCCAGGATGTTTGTTTTTTTTATTATTTAATTCATCTTATTCTAACATGCAACAACTCCTTTAACAAACAGAGCCCTTCTGTAAGGTAGCTTAAACAATCAAGTAATAAATATCTATTTATTAATAGATTTATTAATTTATTAACATCAGTTTTTCACTTTTGGACTTTAGTGCAACAGTAAATATAAAAAATAAATCTAATACAAAAACAAATAGCACCTCAACCTAAAATACCCGGCAGGCAATCTTAAGTTTACATGTCTCACAGTTTGCTATGGCAATGTTGTCATCATCAACTTTATAATACAGCTGCTTCAAGCTGCCTCCGTGTTCTACTTTGCCGACATTTAACCAATAGCGTCTCTGCAACAAAGAGATGTCAAGCCGCACACGTTGCTGTTTCTATGTGAAGTCAAGAAAGAGGTCTAACTTAGTGCCAGCCCATAACTATAAGTGTATATACATATACACATATATTCGAGTCCTGTTTGGGAGGAAACATCCAATTCCAATCGAGTGGTCCAATCGAGTGGCCCAATTTCCGACCATGTGTTCGAATCTGGATATTTCTAGTTATAAATGGGATTGCTTATGGTTTTAATGTTGGAAGTACATTATAAAATGTAAAAAAAAATATATATATATATATAATTTTTAATATAAGTATTTTGATTTTTTTTTCATTATTTTTTAATATATAATTAAAATAGGAAATTACCATGTCATACAGTTTGCTATATTTACCTTCGGTCCACCACCATAAATCAGATTTGGATTTTGGCCCTTCATTAAAAAAAAAAGTTTGGGCACCCCTGCTCTAGTCTTTGTTTCTCTCTGTGTTTCCTTTGCATGAATTACAGATCAATGGTTTTTATGGTCAAGAAATTTTCTAAACTAAACAATAAAATAAATGCCAGAAAAATGCCACAAATTAGCAAAAACTCGACACAAAATCTGATTTTTTATTTTTTTTGCAAAATTCTGATGGGACTGCAATTGTGCCAACATTCTTCAAAATATCTACTTTTGTGTTTAACAGAATAAAATGCTTATAATGCATAATTTAAAACCACATGAGGGAGAATAAACGATGAGGCAATTTAGATTTTCGTGTGAACTACCCCTTTAATTCCAGTGGCTCTTGATGATACATTGAGCTTTAATAAAGTGAAATGATTGGTCTGTGCAGGAAATCGATCGTTATTTACAGCATGATTTATTTTGGGGTGAATTGTCGCTTTAAACAAGGCACTGAGGGAGGCTGTTCATTGACGTTTTCCACTGCAGTCTCTTTCTCAATGACCTTTACACTAAGAAAAAGAGAAAAAACAACGAATTGAGCGTGAACAGGGCCTTACGATGGACTTTGAGAAAACCTCTGTACGTGTAAAAGACATTCGCCATGGAAGATAGCTTTACCGTCTCTGCCACATTTTTTGCTATTGGGTAAATATGTATATTTATTGATAACTCATATGTTGTGTATATGTAGTGACCTATGATCGTCGAGGTTCAAAGAGTGCTTGTATATTTTTTGACTTTTTTTTTTTCTTTTTGGAAAGAGCGGTTGTGTCTCCTTCACCGTCCCTTCATTTCTTTGCTGTTCTTACATCACTCTGTTGTGATTGGGTGTTTCAATTCGTGAGCTCTTTTAACCTTTCGATTTTTAAGCTCCTTCTTTTCCTCTCTCTCTTTCTCGTCTCTCTTCTGGTCATATTGATATGCAGAAGTTCTCTGAAATTATCAAAGCACATTCCCTGATTTATTGTGTTCTTTCGACGCTTTCATGTTGCGACAATACAAAGGTGTGTATACTAACTGCTACACACGTGTATATAGGGTGCATATATGTGTACACATGTGCAATACACGCTATTTGAGCAATCTATTACTGTGACTATTAATCATTAAAAATTGCTGTCCCTTTGACTCCTGCTGTTCGTCACTTCTTTGTAGTAATGATGAACTGTTTAATGCTCTGTATATGGCTGATGGTGATGCAGATGTATCCGTCCTGTCCAGTTATATATTTTCTGCATATCACCTTCAATTTCTGAGTTTATTTATTTGTGACAGCTGTTTTACTGAAGCTCATTTACTTCAGCTCGTGTTTATGGCGTCTTTACAGATTTTTCTATATTTGAATGGCCGTTTAAATGAATGATTAATGGTCAATAATAAATTGTTACTTTTATTAATGCAGTTTAATTATACATGTATTTATAGCTATATTTATTTTGGATTGAAGTAAGAAAAAATAGAGATAATATAAGTACTTTATAATAAATATAGTTAATAATTTAATTCTCATTGCAGTTGAAGTCAGAATTATTAAACCCACTGAATTATTAGCCCCCTTTTTATTTTGTTCCCCAATTTCTGTTTAACAGAGAGAGTTTTTCAACACATTTCTAATGATTGTAGTTTTAATAACTCATCTCTAATAACTGATTAAATTTATCTTTGTCATGATGACAGTAAATAATATTTGACTAGACATTTTTCAAGACACTTTTATACAGCTTAAAATGACATTTAAATGTTTGCTTATGTTAATTAGGTTAGCTAGGCAGGTTAGGGTAATTAGGCAAGTTGTTGTATAATGATGATTTGTTCTGTAGAATATCAAAAAAATATAGCTTAAAGGGGCTAATAATTTTGACCTTAACATGTTTTTTAAAAGATTAAAAACTGCTTTTATTCTAGCCAAAATAAAACAAATAAGACTTTCTCCAGAAAAAATATATATATTATCAGACATTCTGTGAAAATTTCCTTGCTCTGTTGAACATCATGTGGGAAATATTTAAAAAATAAAAAAAAAACTCTAAGGGGGCTAATAAGTATGATTTCAACTATATATATATATATATATATATATATATATATATATATATATATATATATATATATATATATATATATAACAATATTTTTCATATAAAAATGTTTGAGATAACCTGTTAATGTATTTAATGATGCATGTGGCACGTTTTTTTCTGCATAACACTAAATGTTAAAACAAAATAGCAAACACAAAGGCTATATATATATATATATATATATATATATATATATATATATATATATATAATCTCAAAGAAAATAAATGAACAAGTGTTTTAAAAATATCTAAACTTTTTAAATAAAAACTATTATCGATATTATTAGACATTTTTTGTTCAAATATTTTTTATAAAAAATATGACAATATTTTATTCTAAATACATAATATAAACAGCAAATAATTACTGTATTTTACTGTAAGTTATGCAAATAAATATTTTTCTGATTTAGACAAAAAGGCATAACAAATGGCTATGATAGCAGGTTTTCCCCCACTGTTTCAAATTACAGTCAATTTAAACAGACTTTTTCTGAAAGAGAAAAAAACACCTCATTCAGATGCCAGAAGATAACCGCTGTCTCCCATATCATTTCAAAATACTCGTCCGAATAAAGCAGGAGGCGCGGATGAATGAGTGCTGTAGTAAATATATTCACGATCCACTACTCCATAGTAAAGTGGGCGTGACCTCGCTTGCGGCGGTTTTTTTTTTGCGTCACTTCATTCATTCACACGCCACGCCCACCCACTCGCGCTCCCATCCCGTGCTGACGCGGCTGCGCGTGTTTACGTGCAGCGACTGCTCCGTTTCCTGGCGGAGAAGATGGCGGCTCCTGGACCAGGAGAGTATTTCAGCGTCGGGAGCCACGTCTCCTGCCTCACCTGCCTGGGGCAGCGCTTGCAAGGAGAGGTCGTCGCTTTCGACTACCCGTCCAAGATGCTGACGTTGAGTATCCTTTTGTCGTCGCGGCTTGTCATTGAATCGTCGGGATTCACAACTGTTAGAGGCCTGGTTTGTCAAAGAGGTTTGCTGCGGGGTGAAGTGAGTCCACCCGGCATTCGCTTCCGTGTTTCGCGCATGTCGAGTCAGGTGGTGCTCTTTTGGATCTGCGATTGGTTGCCACGTTTATAACTATGGCTTTTAGTTGATGGCCTGCAAATATTAGCACACATTTGGACTCGGGCGATAGGAAATGTAGATTTACTTTGATGTTTTTCAGCAATATTGTGTTTTAGACGTCGTGTAAGAGCTTTTGTGTAGTTCTACTGGGTCCTCATGTTCAGAAAACACTCGAAAATGTCTGACAAGAATGCTGTAATGAATATTTCCTAACTTAGATGTATTATAGATTGTTTGATTGCTGGTCGGTTTAGCTCTTGTGTGTATAAATTGTGCGGCATTTAACGCTCACAGAAACCACATGGAATTGACATTATTTTTGCTGCGGGGTTTTTGATTCATTCAAATGAGTCGAATCTTTTGAATCAACTCCCTTGTCGTTTCTGTAGATTCTGTTGTCATTGGTGGTAGCAGAGTGTGTATAAGTATTATTTATATTTTATAGTACGTATGCCACTTACTCTTATATTAGTGTAATTGTCATTTTAATGTCACATAGTCGTCTATCATGTTTGCGAGTCCCTAAAGCTTCCCACATTAACACATGCAATACATTATACTTACTGTTTGACATATTATTTTGTTGGAAAGACGACGAGATTGTGCACTGAGGTGAACTAGAATGATTCGTTTACATAAAAGATGCTCAACTTGACTCAGTCGACCGGGTCCACGAATCGTTTGCCTGATTCATTAACGAACATACAATGATATTAAACAGCTGTGGAAATAAGGCATGTAAATCCAGAAATGTCTGCAAAATTATTAAATCTAGCCCTATTTAGAAACCTATGGTGCTTGTCTCCTAAACAGGAGGGTTTGGCGCGTTTATTTCCAGCATCAGTCTTAGTCACTAATGGAGGTGAATGAGAGTGGACAGGCTGTCAAGCACACATTGCTGCTTTTCCCCGCACGCTTCTACGCATGCGTGCTCAGGGGGCGTCAGCTAGCTTGCCTTGAACGCTAACGTCTCTCTGCCTGACGTGCAGTAGTATGTGTAATGTGCACATCACAATTAGGCATTCTAGTTTGCGTTTTACATGCATCATCCTTTATTTTTATTATGGTTTTGGTCATGACGAGTGGTTTTCTTGCTAACCTGCTAATGTGCAGCCATTCATCTACATTAAGTCACTTCATGTCATACTATTTAATTTAGTCGTTTGTACTAACTTATATAGGGAGAAAATCTTATATAAATATACGTATAATATAAGCATTATATTTAATATTGTATTGTGAGATTACTCTTTCAGATGGTTGGCCTAGTCATGTATTTTATTGGTTTACACAAGTGATGATTAACCATCTTCACAAGTCTCTATTGACTGAATAGTTTTGGCCAGACTGACATCTGTATATGTGGAGCTTTCCAGAATCAGGAAGGACAATCTTCTATTTTATTCATTTAACATGTAAACACACTCTTTGCAGCTCAGCAAAAAAAACAAACAAACAAACAAATGGTTTCTCTCTTTGAGGGATTCGTCCCAACCTTCTGCATCAGGCCGTACTCACACTATGTACAGTTGCCTCGAACCGGGCCAAAGCACGCTTGTCCCCCCTCTCGTCTCCCCCGACGGCCCGCACTCACATACATTCGGGCCTGGGCACGCTTACATCATTGCTGCTGCGCTGTTCAGTGAGCGCTCTCGCTCAGCACAGTGGAGATTTCTCTAGTTATATTGTTTAAGTAGTATGATATGCAGTGTTATGCAGTCAAATATTTCGCCAAACTCTCCTTAGGGATGCGGTGACACGCAGTCAGATATTTCGCCGAACAGATCTGCCAACAGTCATGAAGTCCTCGTGCTGCAGGAATGAGGAGGTGTGCTGAAGGTGCTCAGCTGTCGTGCATTGAGGTGTCTGTGTATTTAATAAACTATGGCAGTTTGTGTTCATTGAACAGTAAGATTGATTAATAAATCCATGAAACAGTCCCTTAAAGTCACGTCTTGCTTTCAGTTTTGGGCTTTTGGTGCATTTTGCACTCACAAACGTACCGCGCCAAAGCCCAAGTTAACCATGCTCAGGCCCACCTCTTCCAACTGGGCCAGTGCCGGCCAAGTGTTCGGATAGCATAGTGCGAGTAGGCCCTCAGTTGTCCATCAATTTTTTTTGTATTGATTGGCGGCCTAAATCAAAGGTTACCATACACCAAATTTGTCCCGCTGGCCCAAGTTTGGATATCTTTCCTCTGTAATATGCATTTAGAAAATAGATAAGTTGTGTTTTTACTTTATGTTGGCTCAAATCACAGATTATATTTTACTCATAAATACAAATCATAAAACAATTGGGTTATGTGTTTAAGTAATTCTAGACAATAGTTTTGTACAGTTAGCATGGAAAAATTCAATAGGTATTCCATCAGCGCCTCAGTTTCCTCAGCAAGTTGAGAAGTTTTAATGTTAGTACACAGACTTTAAACGTGGCATATAGATCATTAATAGAGAGTGTTCCCACATATAATATTGTTTCATGGTTTGTTAACGCAACATTTATTTTATAACGCACAAATTATCGATCAGGCAAATAAATTAACTGATCACAAACAACATTCGCTGCAGATTCAATTTGACTTCTGAAAAAACAGAATATGCGATTTGAAAGATAATACACATCCCCTTCACTCAGTTTTTGAAGTGTTACTTTCAGGATGCAAGTTTAAAATTCCTAGAGCCTATAAGAAAGGCTTATTAAAAAGTCGTTCATCCCAATTGCAGTTGTTGTAATAAATTGGATCACTGTTTAATGTGAATGGTGCGGTTGTTAAGAATGATCTGCAGTAATATGCCTGAGGCTAATTTGTTAAGTTTTTAATTCATGTTGTTGTCTTGATGAGTGTTGCTGTTATGTGAGTGCAGTATGGTTGCATGTAAGTTACCAGTGTTAAGGACGAATTTTCTTTCAGTGCCAAGCAGGGTGAACAGTAAAGTTTAAACTAAAACTAAACAAAAAATGAATGTTTCTAAAATAATTCAAGATGTGTTTTGTGTAAAAATCTACATTATCATTGTATGGCTTCCAATACAAACTGCTTAAAAGGAGCCCTAAACTTCTGTGTAAGCAAACATATTCAGAGCTAAGAACCAGCTGAACACCTGGAGTCAGCTTAAACAAAGTTACATTTGCTGACAGCACTATCTTTGCTGCTTTGGTTGTATTCCTGTTTTTAGAATAGTTCTGCGACTGAAAACAACATTTGATCTGTTTGTTTAGTAGAACTACCTCCATTAAACATCATCTCAAACTATCCGAATAACTTAAAGTCGGCATTAACTCATCAGCCGTGAACACACTCAGTCTGCTGTCGGTTGTATATACGGCTCATATCTGATTGCAGTCTGTCATGTTAGTAATCAGACTCCGCCATGACACTCATCTCATTACTGACAGACATTCATTCAGTCATTTTATCCTGTTTGGTAACATGAGAGGCCACGCATGAAACCAGAGTAGAGACATGCATGGTATGGCTTACAGCTGACATGTCGCATCGGTGGGCCCTTGTCACATTTCCGCATTTCTCAGTAGTGGAAAGGGTCATGGCATGCTTGGGTAAACTTAGAGCGCAGTGAATGGGAATGTACCACCAATATATTTTGTTACAATCCTATTCGCTGAAATAATGAAAGAGGAAGGTGTTATCAAGACTTTCAGAAAAGGGCTGATAATGGCAGCCAGAAGAGAGAACAACAAATGTACTGTCCTGCTCCCATACTCTGTGTTTCTCAGTACTGGGTTGTGACTGGAAGGGCATCTGCTGCGTAAAACATACCTCTGATAAATAAGGAACTATTTATCAGATAGTTACTAGCTAAAGGAAAAGGAATAAATAAATGAATATTAAAAACTTTCAAGGATTTAAGATGCTGATAAACATTAAACACACCATAACAGTCTTGTAAAAAGGGTGCACTATTGTGAGCTTCTATCTCTTTCTCTATTGCATTTTTTATGATCAACGCATAAATGCCAGACACCTTGACTCATGTGACCAGAATGTGCCCCGTCCAGCGGTAAACCCAACCTTAGCGATGTGATGCTTGTTAACTTGGCCTATGTGTCCGAGGTGGACATCATCACTGACCGTGCTGAAACTCCTCCCCCTTTAGCATCTCTCAATTTTAACAAGGTAAGTCCATTTATTTTGCTTAAGCCCCTTTTACACATACAGACCTTTCCGGAAAATTACCGACAATTTTCCTGAAAGGTCTGTATGTGTGAACAGGCCCTTTTTGTAAATACCTGTAAATTAGTTCTGGCTATTTTCTGGAAAGAAAAGTTGTAACATTACTAGTAATTTGTCGGAATGCCGCACTGTGTGAACGCAGAAGGAAGATTGCCAGAAAGTGAGCGTTTACGTCTAGAACGTGCTGACATGAGGCGTCTACTTTAGCCAATCAGAACACTCAGATGCATTCACATCTGCATGGTTTGAGAATAAAAGCCTGTGGATATGCTTCCAGACATATTTAGCTGCTAGATTTTAATCAGATAATGTTTCTTTGTTCCTTCTTAATGCCAACTGTGTATAAAAAATCAATTAAATGCTTATGATAAGCCATTGTTTGTTTACCTTCAAGCTCTGACGCGTGCGCACGTGAAGCAGCCGGTGAAGCATGCATCTTGACATGCGAAAGTCTTCCTCTATTTGTATTCATCTAAGTTGTTCTCGATACTGATCTATCCACAGAGTTTGTAATGTGGTCAAATGTTTATAAATACAAGCGCAGCCGTTTAGAGTTTTTTTCTGGTTAATGATGTCAGAATTTACAGGTATTTTGGAATAGATGTGTGAATGGTCTTTTCCATAAAAATACAGACCTGGATGGAAGACCATATGGGGAAACTAGGTTACTGTTGGAAGTGGTGTTGGTGAGGCCAGCAGGGGGCGCTCAACCTGCAGTTAGTGTGAATCCTAAAGCCTGGTTTATACTTCTGCGTCAAGTGACCGGCGTAACCCACGGCACATGCAACGTGTGTAGCTGTGCATTTATACTTCTGCGCGCTGTTTCTGTTGGTCTGCATTAACACTTCCGAAACGCTAGTTGGCAGTGAGGTGTTAATGCTCCTCTGTGTCGAGTTTCTTCGCTGATGTTTTGCTTTTCCTGAACACTTCCTGAATGTACTGATGTAAGTACATTATAAGTGGCTCAAACTCGCTCATTTTGCGGCAGGAACCAGCGGACGTGCAACAACTTTAACTATAAGGTAAACACAAAACAAAACTTTCCATCCGGAGCTCCTTCACGGGACTTCACACTTGTAAACAATCGCTCCATCGGGCTCGCGCGGCTCTCGGTTCCATCCAGACTCGTCAGCGATACCAAGCCGACCAATCATAGAGCTTGCGCTACGCGTCGTTACGACGTGTAGTTACAGTTTTTTCAGAAGTGCACATCAGGGACGGCCACGGCGTAGGACTATGCGTCAACGCCGTAGCATACCCGTGCGTTTGACGCAGAAGTATAAATCAGCCTTAATGCCCCAGTAAAGTGAAGGGGACGCCATACTGTCATTGCGCCCCGTCTTTCAGATGAGACGATAAACCGAGGTCCTAACTCTCTGTGGTCATTAAAAATCCCATTTGACTTTATGAAACCCTGCTTTGTCATTGTGTTACCATGGAAACAGTACAGTACACACTTTTGAATGCCCTTTGTTGCTTTTCCTAGTGGGCATTGTTGTGTGGACACTTTTAAAATGTTTTAATAATGACTTTGTTTATTATCTTCATATTTATATGAATATAATTTATATGTTATAGTTATACTTTAAATAAATATATTTTATATTTATCATCATTGCTGTTATCATTTCTCTGCAGCTTGTGAACCGAGCACGAGCGGAAAAGGAAGATAAGTTGTCGCTAGCTTATGCAGTTAGTGCTGGGGTCTCTGTAGAGGGTCAGCAGCTGTTCCAGACCATTCATAAAACGTAAGTGGGACTCAAATGTATGGGAATGTTGATATGCTTAATTCAACTGTTCTCATGGATGGTATTTCTGGAATATTATGGAATTTTAAAAGGTCTAATCCAGACATTGGAAGTAAGGGATTTATTCCCCTATCTAAATCATGCAAAATCTTTTTCATTTTAGTTGTTACATTGCATTTATAAAAATCAAATTTTACTGTAAAATGTGTTTTTTTATCATATTATTTCAAGAGATTTGCCTATTTTTAGTCCTTTTCTTTCTTTTTTGTCAAGTTTCTAAATTTCTGTGGCTGTGTCCGCTCAGTGTTCAACACAACAGTTGCCTGTTGTTTTTTCTTGGTCATCATACAACACTGAAATTCAGCTAGTTAGTCCATCAAAAATAAGGGAAAAGTCAGGGAATTTGACATATGGCTTACAGTGGTAATCCTCACTCCATTTTTAAAACGTTTTACCTGATGGAGCTTTGGTTTCTTGCCAAGTTAGCTTTGAATTGCTTAGTTGTGGTTTAAAAGGAAATTAATTTGTAACTCTGCCTGCTCATTTACATATTAAGAGCTTTTTCACACATGAAAATATAAATTTTAGAGAAGAAAATCATTACCTTTATATTATATTTTCTTAATTTGACCTTAATTATTATATTATATTATAAGTTTAAGTTAATAATAGTTAATAATATAAGTTTATTATTGTGAACAAATGTTTTGGACTAGTTTAGCATGTTTTTTTTATTATTATATTATAAAGCAAAGAATGACTTGTTCATTTTCTTCTACACCCACAGCATCAAAGAGTGCAAATGGCAGGAGAAGAACATCATCGTGATGGACGATGTGGTCATCAGTCCGCCATACCAAGTGGACAACTGTAAAGGCAAAGAGGGCAGCGCTTTAAGCCATGTGCGCAAAATAGTAAGTTGCTTAATTCTCTACTACATTTCGCTATAGTGTTCAAAAAGTGTTTTTTTTTTAAATGGAAATAAATACTTTTTTTTTTATCTGCAAGCTAGCATTTAAAAAGCATAATACCTTTCAAATATATGAAACCAACTAACATGAAATCCATTTATCCGAAACAAGTAACAGCAAGAATGTGATAAATTTATATAGACAATCCTGATTTTGGGGCCTGTATACACAACTGTGGTTACATTTTATTATACATTTCAGTTCAACCTTTACATGTTTAGTCTGTACACATAGTAAAAGCTGCGTTCATCAAGCAGATAGTAGTAAGTATCATTTTTACAGTGATTCAACAGTGTGTGTGTACTGTTCCCAAACTGAGCAACTAATTGTTAGTGAAGTGTTTAAATTTATATTGTCCTGTAAATGTGACTATTCCGGATGCTGTTATGAAGTAAAGAAATATCAGGAAATGAGGAGGTGTCTTCATTCGTTAGGGTTGCCAGATCTGAAAAGAAAAACCAGTAACCACTGACTTCCATAGTAAGAGAAATAAATACTATGGAAGTCAGTGATTACATGTTTTCAGCTTTTCTGTTCAAAGAAACTTATAAAGTTTTAGGGCCATTTCATTAAGAGTAAATGATTGAATTAAACTACATAATTGTTACATGCTTAGATGAGCACTAATCATAGTAAAACTTTAAAGGGTTTAATTATTTGTTGTTTCTAATGAGCTATTTAATATATTTGATCCATTCGCTTTAGGAAATAAGTTGTCACAGAAAGGAAATTAATTATTGTATATATTTTTCCTAAAATCTTAATATTTTACCTGCAGATTTTATGCATAAATTTTCAAGCTGCGAGCAGTGTTGCCAGATTGGGTGGTTTTGAATTTGGTTGTGCGTATTTAAAATGGCTTGGGTGGGCTGACAAAGTTTAAGTGGTTATGAAACATAAATTTTGTATCCAATTTTTTTTTTACAGAATGTGCTCCTATTCCATTCAGTTAGTAGTGAGCAGTGCATAGCTTAAACTGCGGCAGCCCACCTGCAAGCAGGTGAAGGAAAGTTGTATCAAAATCTGACTCCCATTTTCATGCAAGCGCATCTGCAGTTAAACTCACATCGGTTTATCGATAATTTTTCCCACAATTGACCGCAAGAACGAACATAGGAGCGTTGCCTGACTGACAAACCAGCACCTCAGTGTGTTTAAAAGAATGCAAAACGCCAAATGGTAGGAATTTATACCATTATGCAACTACCTAAATCATGGGGCTGCTGTGAAAGCTAGAACTCATGTCCTGCTTCTCGTTTCGGGAGTTGCCAAATTGATTACTTTTAGGCTCACCAGATTTATTAGAGACACATTGGAGCACACTAGCTAATTGATATCCTTAAAACAGACTGAAACTAACATCTAAAATACTTTATTTACATTTCACAGGATATTTAATGCAAAGAATTTATAAACTGTTTAAATATCATCTTTAAACAAATAGATCTACAATATATAGACGAATAGGTTGTGTAATCTACAGAACAATAAGTACAGGGTTGTGAAGTGATCCACTTATGTTGTAATTTTACTATAGTGGTTCTGTGACTGTTGGGGTTGGTTGCTGTATGGTTAATGTCTGAAAATTAATGTAACTGTTAATTTCTGATTTAAATAAATTAAAATAAAATATTAGTCTAATATTTTGGGGTTTATTGTGTGTGTGTTTGGGTGGGTTTTGGACAGCTTTTGGGCTTGAAACCCTCAGCTATATCTGGCAACACTGGCTGCAAGCATTACCTAAACTTAAATAGAAATGACGAATGAGCAACACATAGCCTCCTGCTGATATAAGAAAACTAACAACATAACTATTCATTTTCATGCTACCGTTTTGCTATGCTAACCATCACCCTCTGTCCGCAGGTCGAGAAACATTTTCGAGATGTGGAGAGTCAGATATCAGTGCAGCATTCACAGCAAGCTCAACACACACAGGACTCTGCTTTATCATCATGAGCCCAGACTCAGAGAGGGAACATTATGCTGACAAAGGAAGTGTTGTTCGTTTTAAATTAATATTTTCTGATGTTTTTTTTTTTTTTTTTTTTTTTTTTTTTTTTAACCAATCGCCAGACAAAGGTTGAGATAGCTGATACTCAGCGTTTTGAGCAAGGATGACGATCTTACACGTCTGAAGAGAAAAACTGCTTCCACCCACAAAAAAGAGAGCAAAAATAGTGCCGTCATAGATCATCATTTGATAAAGAAAACATCTGATGTCCTCATTTCTTGTTTTTCTGTTCTGTTGGATCGCTGTTCTTTGCGTTTACTTCTGTGATTCATTTTGATTCACTTTTCACTAAAAAAATCTTGTAATCCGTGATCTTTCTTTCTACCCATAAAGAAATGTGGCACAATGTGTGTGAGGATTGAAGCAAAAACTATTTTATTACGTTAAAAATTTGCTCAGACTGAATTATTATTAATTTTCTTTGCGCAAATAGTTTCTCTTATATATAGGTTTGGATAGACTAATAGGGCTTAAGGGGCAGGATGGGAAATTGAATTGCACTTAACATCTACCCAACATCTCAATTTCTGAAAAAAAATTTTTTTTACATTTCTTACATTGTAAATGTCACTTTAAGTGACGGACAAAGGAGTAACACTCTTGAGTTCTGCAAACATCCTTTCAGTTTACATGTAGAACGTGTTCATGACGTCTCTTTAGCTCCAGGAAGGAACTGGAGAGTCCCTTTGGTCAAACATTACATTATTTTCTTCCATTTTGGTCCTGTAGTTGCCATTTTGAATACCTCTTCCATATTGGGACCATTTTTTTCATGATGCAATGTTTGTATTATCTTTATTATTATTATTATTATTATTAATATTTCCGAAAGCATACAAACTGGAAGGGTAAATGCGCTCCATGCATTCCTTGATTATTTCAGATTTACTTTGTTTTTCTTTAGATATGCGTCAGCTTAAGACTGCTCGTATCTTGCTCATCTCTCGCAGCAGGACTGATCTCTTTTCTGAGCGGGACTATTTGTAATCGCCTTTTTTGGGGGGGAAAGTAAACATTAAAGTGATCTCTTGCCATGTTGAGAGACTGGGACAGGGGGGACGGGTGGAAATCCTCCCCGTCCCAGCCTCGTGAACTTTGTAGCCTGATGGAGGCTCTAGCAGTGGCGCCAAGCTGTGACGGGCATATCCGCGTTACACGGCAGTTCGTATGGCTGTGTGCTAACTGGGTTGCTGTTGGCCTATAGGTTTCTTTCGCAGTATTTTATTTTTTATTTTCAAATAGTAATGAACAAATAAATAAAAAAAGAGAAAAATCTCACTGGTGGTGTTTTGAAGCTCTACGATCTTTTCAGAATTGCTTGCAGCTTTCCTTTCCATTTCCTTGTGCTATTTCAACGTTTGGTGGAAGCTTGATTCAGCCACGGACAAAATAAAATAAAAATCAATTTTTGCATAAAATAAATCATTTTTATCAAAAAAAAAACAAACCAAAAAATTAAATTCACAATCAGAACAACAGCATCCAATATTATTATTATTATTTTAAAGATGCAGTCTACTCCACTTAATTGTAGTGCTGTAGACTTATTTACATTTTTTTATTTTTGCTAAGTCGCAATATGACCTATTAAAGGAGTTCACCCAATAATATAAACTCCTTCTGTTATTCTCCCTCGTGGTTTTAAACGTTTGAGTAAGAATGCTGGTTGCTGGAACCATCATTTTAGAGGCTGCATCCTCCAACGGATCCATTGGAAGGGCGCTGCGTCAACACCTTCAGATCACTTGAAATAAGTTTTAAAATCACTTTAGGAAAAAAAGTTATTGCACACTGTATTTCCGCTTACAAAGAGCAGAGAATCACCAAGAGGTGACACTAGTGCGATTTGGGAAACAGCCACTAGATGCCGCTAGTATTAAAAATAAAATACCAATAAAACAACAGCATATTATAAGTCTTTAAAACAAACTTTTAAAAGTGCTGATGATTGTGATTGGAGTGTTGTATTGTCGTCTTTCAGGTTGTATCAGCTTTTTAAATAAATAAATAAATAAAAAAACGGGTGCTTGCCATTGCGACAGCAATAAGATCCAATGGACGGCCGATGGCTTTTACTCCAAAATGGTGGAATCGCGGGGCTGTTGCTGGGCACTGCTGTTGCAATGGTGCGTTCTATTGAGTGTCGCCTCTTGGTGATTCTAAGCTATTAACGGCAGCTGTTATGGTTATGGTTGCTAGGTGACAAGATCTGTCATCTGTAGGCTAGATAGTCTTATTTCAAAATGCTCGGTTCGGCTTGTTTGGACTTCGAAGGAATCGCCTTTAAAGTCTACGTCCCTCAGAGGATACAGCCTCTGAAATGAGACGCAGCTCATCTACTTTAATGGTGCCAACTACTAGTATTCTTTAAAATAGCTGAAGTTTATTTATAAGCTAATTTCGAGAGGATCATGTGTTTCTTGTTGACTGTATCTGGTTCACATTAGCTCATGCATAATTCACCAATCAGACGATTCCTAACTCACTATAAATAACCAGAGTGGCTTGCCTTAAGCTGCGGTCACAGAGTTTGAGCATGTGATATTCTGTCGTGCGGTGCTGAGAAAAGGGGCGAGATTAAACAAGCTTATCAAACATTTAAAAAAGTGATTGCTCCATGTTTGAAATTTCTGTCCAGAGATGTTATGTTTTGATCCTTGATTGGTCTCACGCAGTCAAGTGATGCAATTTCGCAGGTCAGAGTTCACCAAGCTTGAATTTTGCACCGCAGCAACCTGCGAAATTTGACGCATGACCCTGCGTTTCCGGTTTGACGTATTCTCGTGCATATGAATGAAAGTCTATGGGAGGAAAAGCCAGTGTGACCGCAGCTTTAGTCATCTTTGTATCGAAGAATCCCCCCTTCCGCCCCTACTCCTCCCCTTTTCCTTAAGAGGGTGGCACGGTGGCCCAGTGGTTAGCACTGTTGTCTCACAGCAATAATATCTCTGGTTCAGGTCTTTACCCGACCAGTTGACATTTCTGTACGGGGTTTACATGTTAATCCTTGTGCTTGCATAGGTTTCCCCTAGGTTCTCACATTTCCTCCCACAGTCCAAACACATGCAACATTAGGTAAATTGACCAAACCAAATTGGCACCATAGATGTGCTCTTAACCAGGAGTTTATATTTATAGCAATCCTTATCCTGCCATTTGTCTCAACAAACAGGGGAGTTCTCGAGACATACCTGAGCTCCAACTCCCCTCTCGCCCTGCAAACAGGTGGGAGCCCCGGGCTCGAGGATCCTATGAGGTTAGGGCTCTCTCCTGGGACAGAATGCCAAACGCGCTTTACAATCGATCATCAGCTAAGTGTGAACTCTTGAAATATATTTTGTTTAACAGAGGAACAAATGAAGGGTGAGTAAATAATGACAGAATTATCATTTTTGGGTGAACCTACCCTTTAATCTTATTTTGGTCAAACAACTTTGTGCAAGTTTGTTTCCCATCTCGCATATTGTCATGCCTATGAGTAAGTCTGTGGAGCAAAAGGTGTAAAGTGATTTGCGGCTCAAAGATAGAAGAATTCAATGATATGCATGTATTGAAGAATGGGAACATAAGCTTGTGGAAATTTGTTTCTCATTTCAGTTTGTTACAAAGTTAAAGTTTTGGTTAAATGATCTGAAAATTTTGCATTAAGATTTATACAATTGATCACAGTGGGAGCAATTGTGATAAATAAATAAAAAACATTCAGTTTTTATGTTTGCAACTCTGACAAAAGGTAAACAATATTATTAAACGCAGAATTTGTAAACTCAATTTCACATAAAAAACAGACAATTCTGGGTTTATATATCATAGTTCTTACTTGATTTAAACATGCCAGATGAATTCAGAATTGAGAAATACATTTTACAGTTTTTGGAAGCAAATTATAAACTTAAAAATATATAAGGTTTGTTTTCACGATTTTGTGGATTTCATCTAAATAATTCTTAGTTTACGTATTGCAAATCTGACCTTATTTGTATTGTGAACATAATTTTTGAAATCAACTTTAATCACAAAATTCATAATAAATAATATTAGTAGGTGCTTAAAATACTTGGTATACCAGCCTGATCTCATGAGGAAATATGACTTAATGTTTTGTCAGTTTAGTGACTAACTTATACAAGTTCAGTCGTACAAAAATGTATGATTTTTAAAAGTAGGTGTGGCACCCAACCCCACCACTAAACCCAACCATCGTTGGGGGAATAAGGAAATCGTACTAAATAGGGTATATGCACACAGACTTTTAATTTCAGTCAGCCAACCCCAGCGCTTCCGGTGAATTGTCATCCCATACAAAAACGCCGTGTTTAAGATCTGATTTCTTTTAAAAAAAAACGAGATCTTCACTGCCTGGCTGAAATAAGATATAAAGTGGGTATCAGACCAAACAAGAAGCACGCTTTTTACGCTTTAACAACCAAATGGATGCTCAAGTCTGTTTAACTGAATGTATTTTACTTGCATTACAACATTGATGCTGTAAAAGAAACTTTATGGAATGGAAAATAGTCACAAAGTTTTTACCGAAAGTTCATCAGTGGCTGGAAAACACTAGCTTTGCATATAGCCCATTGTACGAATGAGATCGTACAAATTCATACGAACTTTCCACCTAAAAAAAAAGTTGTGAATTGCCATGAGATTGTGTTTGGTAGACGGGCTTGTGTCATATTTAGATGCATACAAAATTAACGATTATATATCAATGATAAGCTATTATATCAGTCTGGATGTGCTATTAGTTGTTGTTTCCCATATTTTTCTTCGGTCATGTATAGGGTCAGAAAAAGTGAGGGCCTCATTTTCTTTGGGAATCAAAGGGGGACCATCAATATTTACATCCAAGACATGCAATTGACTGAAATGAATGATTGATGTCAAGGTTTTTCCATTATTCACTTACAAACGTATGCATTATTTAATCACACATGATCTCGTATTTCTGCCCCTGACCCCTTTTGTACATCTAAGTCACGTCAACATTGTGTTGGGCCACTTTAGCCAGCAGTGAAGGTTAATTAGCATGTAGACAAAACCATAGCAGCAAGTTGGCCTGTTCACCCGAGTGTCACATTAGTTTTATATGAAATGCAAACGTCAGAATATTAAGGAATGACTGATTCAGTGAAGTTTCATTGGTGCAGCAATTTTGTTGCCATCTAAATGAAAATACATGACGTTCGTGTAACAGAAAAATAATGAAATGTGTTTCTAATAGACGTTTAAACATCTTGGATAAAACTAGGCTAAATTTGAGCTTTTAGTGAAAATCTAATAGACATCTAAGAATAGGCCAAAAATAAACTAGTCATCAAATAAACAGAAATGAATGACTACACGTAAAGTCTGTCTAATCTGTCTGTCGACTAATCTAGTTTTGGGCTATTATTAGTTGTCCATTAGATTTTCACTGACAGGCCAAGTTTAGTTTTAGCCAAGCTTTCTACGTTTAGATGTCTGTTAGACATCTATTGGCCACAAAATTGTTTGCTGGGTCGTGTTGTGTGGGTGTTAAAAACTTAATGGTGAAAATTATGACAATACTTATAAGGAAAGTGGCCTACTGTCACTTTATGTCGACCTTTAAGATGGTCCCATTTAAAATGCTTCATAAGACTGATATTGTGGAGACAGAATTCGCTAGTCTTTGGAAATACATTTGAGTTTCGGCGACAAACCACATTTATTCTTTATGTAGGCCAATGAATGTCTTTGGTGAGCTTTGGGACTGCTGATGTTGACGCTTATTTCTAAGTTTATCAGCAGGTTGTCTGAGATTGTGTTTAATTGAACCATATTGAACAGTATGCATATTATAAGGTTATCTGGGGTAAAACAATCATGTAATACAAGGATAGTTGAGGTTTTAAGCGTACAGGATTAAACAAATCTGACAGCTGCGCGTCTGAGTACGCGAATGGTTCTTCGGAGTCGATTCTTTACTAAATCTTTTGAACCGATTCACGAAACCTGTATGAATGATTCGTTCACGAAGTAGGTGAAATGCCACAAATTATGACGTGGAAATGTTTATATGGCGATTTTTATATATGGGAAACGGTTCATTTTTAAAAAAGTTAGCCACATTATAAGAGATTTTTGTTTAACTTGATATTTTCCATTTTTTAAATTTTATTAGAACGAACATCTTCTTAAATTTGAGCAGGGATATGATCATAAAATATTTCACAGGTAAACAAAAATGGATTAACTACTGCATAATATTATAAACCCATGTTTAAAAAAAACATTTGTTCATTTGCC